TCGTACTTCTTCGACAACAACCACAAGGGCGGCTTTGACTTCAAGCATGTTGAGAGCAATAGTACTTCTTAAAACCCAAATGTCAAGGTACTAATGAATGCATAATGTATTTTTTAACATGCAAAGAAACGTAGCCTTTACATTTCATCTAATATTCGCCTGCCAAGTTCATAAGCCTATGCTAAAAGCCATAATTAAAATTTTTGGAGAGCTCACAAGGCAAACAAGGAAAAAAAAAAAACATCAAAGAAGTTTGTAGCAGTAATGGGAAACCTATGTTGACCTATGATGCGGGTCAAAAAATAGCAATATTAAAAAAAAGGTTATTTCATTTTTTTAATTATATATATATATATATATATATATACAGGGTGTCACAAAAGAAAATTTACACGGTTTTTTTTACCGCAAAAATAAACTAGGCATCGCCGAACGCTCATTCTCCGCCCAAAGGTAGAGCTAGAGGTCACAACCAGATGCCAAAGTTTCAGCCCGATCCGATACCTTATTCAAACGTTATAAGCGATTTTCTGAAAAGTTCAATGGGAAAATGGAGCCCCTTTTTGCCTGTTTTCGGTTTCTGGTGCCATAGAGCCCCATGTGTTTGAAAACTCCGTCGGCCGCCATTTTCCCATTGAAATTCTCGGAAAATCACTTATAACTTTTGATTAAGAAATCGGATCGGGCTGAAACTTTGGCATCTGGTTGTGACCTCTAGCGCTACCTTTGGGCGGAGAATGAGCGTTCGGCGATGCCTAGTTTATTTTTGCGGTAAAAAAGACCGTGTAAATTTTCTTTTGTGACACCCTGTATATATATATATATATATATATCCACGGTGCTGCAGAAAGGCAACCGATATGATTATATCTTCTTATTATAATTTTGATTGTTAATATTGTCCAATCACAACTCAATTTAGCATGCATATATATATATATATATATATATATATATATATATATATATATATATATATATATATATATATACATACATACATATACAAATTAGGACCGGATACGATCGCGAAATTAGTCAAACACGCATTTGAGTAATTTTCAAGTGCGCGGTTCTTTAAATTGAGACGTCGTTCGCCATCAGACTTATCTTGAAAAGTAGGCCTAGCCGTCTCCTTTCCATCGCATTCTTCTGTAGCTTCAATTTGTCATAATACATTCATTAAATAAAAACATTAAAAAAACACCGCGAAAGAATGTCGTTACACATCTATGGTAATATTCGACCGGGTCTTTTATTTTCATAAGCGCCATATAACAGCACCGCCACACTCCTGGGGCTCCTCTGTTCTACGTGCACTGACCAAACGGCAGGATCCCCTAATCCCCTTGGCTCGCTGCTGACCCGCCTCAGCAAAATCTGGACACCTGCAAGTCGGACTGCCATCGTCTCGTCGTCACCTTGCATGCGTATGCTCATCGCATTATTACGTTCATTAGACGCGGCACCATGAGGCTCCATGGTACGCGGGCTGTTGCCTTACCGCGGTGCTGCAGAAAGGCAACCGATATGATTATATTTATAATGCAATTAAATGCTAAGGGGCAAGCGAGCTGGACAATAATGATGAAAATAATCCCTGGAGAAGGGGAACAAGAGGGACAAGGGACAAACATAAATCTCCAAACACAGCTAGGTGACTGGTGAGCGACCGAAAAAATCCGCCTGGTCCGGGTATCGAACCCGGGACCTCTCCATTACAAGTGGAGCGCTCTACCAACTGAGCTAACCAGGGGTTAGACGTCAGTAGAGCAAACGGGTTTTATCAGCTGCCACCAGTCTAACACCAACAAGGGTGAAGCTTGCAATTTCATGTTATAATTATAATGCAATTAAATGCTAAGGGGCAAGCGAGCTCGACAATAATGATGAAAATAATCCCTGGAGAAGGGGAACAAGAGGGACAAGGGACAAACATAAATCTCCAAACACAGCTAGGTGACTGGTGAGCGACCGAAAAAATCCGCCTGGTCCGGGTATCGAACCCGGGACCTCTCCATTACAAGTGGAGCGCTCTACCAGATTATATCTTCTTATTATAATTTTGATTGTTAATACTGTCCAATCACAACACAATTTAGCATGCATATGCTTCAGTATATGTAGAATGTAACCTGTGTAAATGAGGTTAGAATGTATGTTTTATATTTAATTTTTATTTAAATTTTAAATAAAAAAATATTTTTTGTGAAAACTTTGGAACCCTTTAAAAAAGGCATTCTTAATTTTTTAATGAGGCTTTACTTTTTATTGTTCTTCAATGAATTCAGTGCAATATTGAGTCGAATAGTTTCATTTTACTATGTGCTCTAAAGTGTGTTGCCATGCCCCATATGCATGCAAGAACATTTTATTGGGAACATAAAAAAAGTTATATTAAAACACGGGAAATTTAAATAAATTTCTTCATCATCTCGTAGGAAAGCGATCAAGAGCTATAAACTGTGAACATTTCATTCCACTATCGTAAATAATGAAGAACATGCTTTCTCCTGGTGCAAGCTTCCATAACTCCATCTCTATATTGTTGGCATTATTGCGGCATAAATAACCCGAGCGGCAGTTTAATTAATCTGTACAAATAAAAACCCATAGCCTCAGCCCTCAGGAGATTAACAACCATGTTCATCACATACAACCTAATACAGCGAATTCTTATATATAAAAAAAAAACACAACAGAAAAAAAAAAAGTTATATTGACATATAAGTTAAAAAAAAAAAGAATATAACAGGCCAAAGTTCTGACCATGAACCAAAAACGCAAACATTTCCTGGTGAGTCATCGTTCTTCATTTATTTATTTCAATACCCTCAGGGCCCATTGGGCATTACAGAGGGGGCGGGCATATAAGAATTCACTCAAAAGAAAATACAAACGTAAAAGGCAGTGATTAAAACACAATCAATTCGACAAAATATTAACAAAAGTGATTAGTAAGCGCGTCTTTAAATAAATCAAGTGATGGGATAACTGCTAAAGATGCTTGAAGGTGGTTCCACTCAGAAGACGTTCTTGGTATGAAGGAGTCGTTGTATGCTGATGTCTCACAGTGAGGAATGCCGACCTTGAAACAATGATCAATGCGTGAAGAGATATATGCGGGGTTAAGGAATAACTTATCTTTTAGTGAAGCGTTGAAGCGATAAATTTTGGAGAAAAGGCATAGACGAGATATTTTTCGCCGTAAGGAAAGAAGAGGCAGGGACAATGAGGTTTTCATAGGTGATACACTTGCGGTGTATCACCTTCAACAGCTTCAACGTTAGTCACCTTGAACAGCTTCAACGTTAGTCACAAGCGTTGTATGCCCGGGGTCCCAGATTGATGAGCCGTACTCTAATTTTGATCGAACTAGAGTTTTGTACAGAAGCAATTTTAATGATATTGGGGCTAAAAAGAAGTTTCTTTTCAGATATCCAAGCACATAGAGTTAGCGATAATATGATCAGTATGTAATTTCCATGAAACGTTAGAAGTAATGTGAACACCAAGATATTTGTAAGACGTCACAGATTCCAGTAGGTTGTTAGAAATTGAGTGTGGTGATAGGGACGTGTTCCGACGGGAAACCCTCATGGATTTGCATTTGTTAGTGTTAAGAGTCATTTTCCATAAGTTACACCATTCGGATACAGCACACAGGTCACATTGTAGTGTTGCGTCAGAATCGTTAGTTATTTCACGATAAATTACCGTCATCGGCAAAAAAACTTACTGAGGATGATACACACAGTGGTCATTTATATAAATAAGGAACAAAAGAGGTCCTGAAACGGAACCTTGTGGGACACCAGAGGTAACAGGACTAAGGGAAGAATTAGTTTCATTCGCACAAACATATTGAGACCGATTAGTTAGGAAACATTTAACCCACGACAAAACATTAGGATCAATGTTAAGTTTGCAAAGTTTAAAAAGTAAGAATTTATGAGAAACTTTGTCAAAAGCTTTGGCGAAATCAAGAAACACACAGTCAACCTGGGACTCACGGTCAAGAACGGAAAGTAGGTCATTAGTGAAAGGCAAAAGCTGAGTCTCAGAAGAGAGAGATTTGCGAAAACCATGTTGGTGAGGGTTAAAAGAAAGAGTTTGAATCTAAGAAATTAACTAAATGAGAATAAATAATGTGCTCTAAAAGTTTACACGGGGTGCTGGTTAACGAAATGGGTCTGTAATTAAGAGGATTGTTTGTTACCTGACTTGTGAAGTGGAACCACCTTTCCTTTTTTCCAATCATCCGGTAAGACACCAAGGGACTGCTCAAAAATTTTTGTAAGAAAAATTTACATGTAATGTTGTGTTCTTAAGAAATTTAGAGGTAATATTGTCAACACCACACGAGGAAGAAACTTTCAAATTATCGATCAACTTTACAATCCCGTCGTAATCAAAAGCAAGGGGATCCATGGGAAAGAATGCATAATCTGAAAAAATAGGATGATCTAAACCATCATTATTAGTAAACACCTTGACAAAGACGTCGTTCAGAATGGGTGCACATTGAGCATTCGGAATGTCAATACCCTCAACATCAGTGAGCGATACAGCCATTCCTTTAGGCCCGTTCATAACACTCCAAAATTGTTTAGGGCTATTTGCTAAGATTGAAGGAAGGGTAACATTAAAAAAAGTCAGTTTTGCTTGCTTGATAGCTGCCTTATAAGCATTGACAACAGATTTATAAAGCTCCCAGCGCTCAGCGAGGCCAGACAACTTTGCAGTGCGGAAAAGGCGTTTTTTCTTATTAGCAAGGCGTTTAAGAGTTACATTAAACCAGGGAGACATGTGGTTAGATACGATATTCCTACACGGAATGAATTAATTGGAGAATTTATTGCAGGTCACTTTTCTAGCTCGCAAATTGCACACAAACTATGCTTATCAAAGTGTCTTGCAGGTGTGCATGCTTATCCAACCCTGTCCTTGGACCTGTGCCTTCTGAATGATTGCATACAAGTTGTTGGACACAACACAAATTCGTTGTTGGTATTCACAAGTGTTTATTACAAGAGCGTGCCTCATGGGCCTACTTTCTCCTGTATCTGCTCTTGGACTTGAACTTCTTGACTGGGCCCTTGCTCTTCTTGGCCAGGCCCATCTGGACTTTCTCCTTGTACGACGGCCTGGGACAGTGAAAAAGACTTATTCTATTAGTTTTGCTGGGAAAGCAGGGAATTGTGTAGCCCCCGCCACCCCCCCCCCCCCCCAAAAAAAAAAAAAAAAAAAAAGTTAAGGGTGAATTTTGTGCCATTGGATAAATTACGCACCCATATCTGAGTTTCTTGATCGCCTTTTGGCTCGTGTCCGCCAACTCTGCGTCGAAGCTCTTCCGTTTGTTGGCTCCTTTCTTTCCTTTGGCTGAAATAAAGACACATTTGTAAAGATGACTGAAGCAATACAGCCTGTTCATGAACTAACCCCGCTGATGTTTTCTTCTATCTTTATTGAGAACGACACTGAATTCATTTTTTGGCAAGCTGTTGCACAAGGAATGGCCAAACAAGTTGAGCGGCGGCACCAATGCTCAGTGTCCAATTAAAACTTTGCAGACATCTTTTCCTTCATTGTTCTATCCTCACAGTTTCACTCACATGCTCAAGAAATTTTGTCAACATGGACGAAGAGCTGAGACTGCAGGAAGGTGATGAACACTTGAGACGGAGCTCGAGATCCAATTCACACAGTTCAGTGCTGCCCGGCATCCCCCCCCTCGTATAAAGTACCCTGAAGCGAGGCCAGCTTGCTATGTCGCTGCTGCCACGAATGCAGCCCACTTTCTCCAAATGTTTTTGCTCACAGCATGCAATGCTGACTTTCTCACAATGGTACTTGCTGCAAAGGTAAAGCTGAAATTGAGTTCAAAATTTTTTAGCCGCCTGCTTCTAACAATAGTATCAATTATAAATAGGATTCCAGTTTTCGGAGTTTATTTTTCGCCAAATTCCGAGAGTGTTTATTGGAGTCTACTTTTTTCCGAAAATTTAGAGTTGATCAAAGTTTACTTTAGTTCGATTCCGAATTAAAAAAAATTCAGAGCTTAATTTTAGTGTTTTCTCTTTTTCAACAATAAAAATAAATAATATACGGGTGTAAACATGTGCTAGATTCAAAAGAATGCACTTGTATCAATCGATTTTCATTCAACTGGATTCAGCATTGGTGCCATCGCCACTCGCAATACTAATTTACTAAAGCCAAAACAACAGTTGCAAACAAGTGTTGCTTCGATAAACATGAAAACCTTAAAACCAATAAACTCCTGAAGGTATTTGCTAGGAAGCTAGTATTCATCCCACCCTATCCACCAAACTACGTCCCAACTGTGCGATGGTGGAGTGGCAAAGGGTGCAATAGAGAAGCTTCAACTGCCCACCACCTCTTCACCCTTCCATAGCTTTCACTATCACAAAAACACAAACAGTCCTTTCTCTAAAAAGCACAAAGAGTAAGGCCCAAACTGGAAAACGGAACACCGACTTTTGTCGTGATCCGAAAGTACAATGACCTGTTGTCCTAAATGAACCTTGATGGGCTAAGTGGAAAGACCCCTTCTGTCAATGGTCCGAGATTTGAAAGAAAACTGGGGTGGCATTTCCTCAGGACCATTGACCCTGTGGGCTGACCAAACTTAATTGTAAAGCACCGACATATTTCTTCCTCTCTTTGCATTGGTACATAAAATATTCAGAGAAAGGCTCCTATATTTGACATCTCATTAGGGAGTAGGAGGAAGTTCCAATAAGATGCTCACACGGAAGGGCTTTCCTATTGCCGTCGTCTTCGGTGATCGCTCGTATCCGCTTGGGCTTCTTGGCCCTCTTGGCCTGCCGTGCCTGGAACTGGGCAGTCTTCTCGAGCTCCCTCGACACTCGGTCCTCAGCCTGTACAGGCAAATTCCAAAACCATTTCTCTCATCACAATGCCAGAGAATTAGAAACATAGTAGTAAAGATATTAAGGTTCGTGCATTTCAGCAATCTCATGAAGTGCTCTTTAATAGAGACGTGCCTAAAAGACATCGCCCCCTTTCTGTGGCAGATTGAAGAGTGATGTGTCCATCGAGGAGCCAGAAGTCAAGGGCTAAGTTGCCTAAAGTGAATACAGCAAAACTCTTTACTTAGTGTGACAGCCACTGCAGCAACTACGGCAACTACCTCCAGTAGACAGCTGCTCAAGCACTTAAAAAAAGGGATGACTGTTTCTCACGTTTTGCGCCCTGGCAGGAATCTTAATTTTCTTGAGAGACTGCTTGCTGTGTTCCCCAAGCTTGAGACGAACTGCAAAGAGAAAAATGGAAGCCACAGTTTACTAAACTTTGTAGCTATTTATTTTCATATGCTGTCAATCCTGCGTTCGAGTCACCGTTGGAGATACCTCTGGAGATATCTCTTCATTTTCATGCGGTACAAGAATGTTCAGAAAAGAAATACACCCATCTCAGTAATATACCGACCACAAAGCCATGGAGTCCTTTATGTTGAGCAGGGGTGCAAACAACATACAATGTACAATGCTTTACACGGCTAACACGGACAGGACAGCACAACGTTTTTGCAAATTATTCGATGGCATAGTCATGAGCATCAGATTTTACTGCCCTAATTTGTGTTCGAGACAGGCGCAATTGACCAGAGTGGTAGGTTATAGTACAATCTTTCAGTTATGAGAGGGGACAGGGAGAACCCCCAACTGCTTCTTCATACTAATCGGAGACACTTGATAACGTACGCATCAGAAGAACGACGCTTCGGCCATCTTGGTGCTCGAAATCATTGTTGCCAGTTGCCTGAGGCTTTATCTGAAATCGCAGGAAACGCTTTTCCACCCTCCAGAAATGTTAGAACAGTTCACAATGGAGCAAAACAACATCTCCCGACGGTTGCGACTGGAAAATGCGACTCGGGAAGTCGCATTTTCCAGTCGCAACTGTCGCCAATTGCGTCTGCTTTGCACCAGTCAACAAAATGGTGGCGCCCGCGAGATAATCGGGGAATGGTGTGTCAACACTCTAAGCGTATTCATATTCAGTGGCTCTAATGCTAACTGCGCCTCCCTGTGTACACAACAGTGTAAAGTCACGCAGGGAGTCTTTCTATGGTACCTTGCTCCCTGAACTTCTCCTTGGGGGTCTGGAACCAGCTCCTCTTGGGCTCCTTCAGGTCGGCTGCTTTCTTGTTGATTAGTTCGGTGGCCTTCTCCACGTCCTTCTCAATGTTGCCCAGCTCCTTCTCTGCCTTCTCTTCCTTCAAAATGTTCTCCACCTCTTCTTCCAGGGAGGCTATCTTCTCGCGGTAGTGTGCAATCACCTCTGCGCGCACGCAAACAACAAGGTCAAAACCACATTCAGCTTATCCCGACACTTTCATGCTCTACCTGAAATATTTAGGTACCAAATTAATCGTGAAACAGAGCGAGTGTTATTGGTTAGCCACAAAAGAAAACAGGAATGCGGTACGTCATACCTTGAACGAGCAGGACGTGACTATCTCCTATGTGCTTGATCTTAAGAGTGCTTACACATTTGCTGATATGTCCTACCTACTATCACTGTCCCAATAACTTCGTCAGCACTCGAAGAGTTCCAGTTGAACGCTGACGCAGCACTCGTGACATGGTCCTCAGCCGCAGGAGTGCAGAAACCAGCAACTCCATATGGTATCAGAAGTTCTTATGCTTGCTGTCAAGTCATTTGCACGAGCGCGTGCGAATGAGATGCAAGACGAAGCCATGTGCTTGCGCAGTAGGAAGGGGCTGCAGAACTGTGGAGTCTACTATACATTCATTCATTTGTTTATTTTCTGTGCTCCTAAAACCTGATGCCTTGGAAATTTACTCAAAAACAACCTCGATGCCAAAATGTTTGAGTTAAAAAAAATGTCTACACTTCTCTGTAATGCGAAAATAGAGCGCAGCTCTCAAGATATTTTGATTTTGCGATATTGCCGCGTGCGAAAAGTCGAGTCAGCAGCAGGCTCGACTCCCACGCCGCTGGCTGGGGTTTAATCCACGCCGGCGCTCGTCTTTTTTATTTCTCTTTTGTTTGCATGACTGGAATGTACCAGATGACTCGAGAACCTTGTTTGTTCAAGCTTGGAAGCTTCTAAATACCCACGCGCTTACAAAAGGAGCATTGCACGACTGCTCGAAACAGTCGTCCTTCCGTCGAAGTACAGTCTTGATTACTTTATGTTTCTCGGTACAAGCTCACTGCATTAAACATTCATTTCAATAAAGTGGAGATTCGGGCCAGTTGGTTCATTGCAAGCAAAAAGCGCCGAAAAAATACAGGGACACAGACGAAGGGAAACAGGACAAGGCGCCTTGTCTGTGTCCCTGTATTTTTTCGGCGCTTTTTGCTTGATTCATTTCAAGTTTCATTAATCCAAGTTTTTATTTGTGACAATATACTGTGGTAAAGAATTTGAAAGAGAAATATATGTATACCATAATATCCCAGGAGATAGCCCACCTAAAAGCAATAGCAAATGAGATAAAAATAAAATTTTTTTAACTTTTGGTGTGCCAAAAAAGAAAAAAAAAAAAAGAAAAGAAAAAGAAAACAAAAAAAATGTTAGTTTTAGATTTTGTGATCCTCAAGACTTGTGATCGCAGGAAGGGGCGATGAACCAAAAACAGCTGTCCTTCCCAGTCAGCAGTGTTCGCTTATCTCCCGCAGTGGTTAAGTAACACCGTTTTTGAGGTCACCTTTGGCCAGGGCCAAAGGCGACCTCAAATAGCTGTCTTTTGGTGTTTAAAAAAAAATTAAAGACGTTTAAAGACAATCCTCTGTAATGCAGAATTATAGCACAGCTCGAGAAGGGGGGGGGGGGGGGGGGGGGGGGTACGGAGGGGAGGATATGCATCTCCTCCTTGCCTGCTGCCCTCCCATTAAGTAAGAAATTTTCCCTCGATTTCCCGCTAAATTTAGCGAAAATTTTGGAGCTAAATTTAGCTAATATTTTCCCGCTAAATTGAGCGGGAAAACTGAATTGGTTTTGAGGTCACGTGACTCCAATTTTCCTGCTAAATATAGCGGAAATTTTTCAATTGTTTTGCTAAATTTAGCGGAAAAATGTGTCGGTAAGCATCACTATAATTAACCTCTGTGCCGCTCACACGTCTCCCCCACTATGACGTACCATAATGCAATGCACGCAGTGTTGCATTATGGGACTCTTAAGCTTGTAAACATATCAGCTCGAACTTTAGAATTAAACTTGAGCACAAAAAAAAGAAAAGACACGAGAGGACAAACAGCTGTTTGTCCTAACCGTTACTCTTAGGCACCCGTCCCCACATATAGCAATTATGCAGACGGTGACGCCACTACAGTGAACTCGCAATAATTCATTCGTGATATTTCGTACAGGCTTGATGCCGAGTGTATGTGTGGAAGCCATGTAAGTGCCGACACTTCTACAGCTATTCAAATTAAACGACAAATCAAAGAAAAATTCAGAATATACAAAATGTTCCCCACACCCACGGCTATTACTTCTGAAAGTTACTGTAATCTAACTGACGTCTATTTTTGGTTCGTCGGAGAGTTAGCTTCTGCAACACCTACGCTTTTCAATGAAGGAATGCTTATATTGGTGAAACACAGATAGTGGACCTCACATCCCAAGCAGAATGCTTTCTTTGTGTTCTACCTTGGTTGGCCTTGATGTTCCTTCATATTTAGTATTCTTGTACGCCTTGTTAAGAAGATAAAATGTGCACGCCGGCTCAGGACAGCATTCAAAATTATAGTGATGCTTACCGACAGCCATCTGTTAAGTGACGCCTATAACATAATTTAAAGTGTCTCCAGAGCTCTTGAGGTCTAAAAAATATGCCACAATACGGTTGAATTATGTAAATAATGACATCTTTGTTACGAAGACTGATGGAAGCAGTTAGTTGTGTTAGACAAGTGCAACCACCGTTCCCAAGACTATTTTTGACAGCCCACCAGCTTGTGATCAAGCTCAAACCTACGTTGAAATTGAAACTACAGTTCTTTCGCTATCCACGAGATTTCGGAACGTAATTCTCCAGACTAAATTTAATATCTTGACGGCGTTTGGAAAGCATTGATAACCGGTGATCGATGGCCTATGGGCACGGTCAGGAAAGAGTTAAGCATGATACAACGGCAGTAAAAGGCTTGGAGAAACTATTTGATAATCGATTAGAAACTATTCGGCCAAAACCACTATTCACCTCTAACTTCATTAGTGTTTTATGTGTGTGCCTGCTTATAAATAGACATGTGTAGAGGAAAGCGTAAAAAATATGCTTGGTATGTGTAGCTATTCCTGCAGCCAATTGCTACTTTGCCTCACATCATACTTAGATAAATTTCTGATAATTCAAACTTCTCATATTTCAAACTAAAGTTTGCGGGTTCCTTGAGTTTTAATTAATGAGTCGACTGTATGTGGAAATCAGCGCCTAAAAGCTGCGCTCTAAAACATAATATTCGCTTGCCTTGACAATGTGGCACAAAAAACGATTACTACGCAGAGTATACGATAAGCTGCTTCAGATTTACCCTGAGGCAGTATTCGCTGCTTGACAGCAGTCTTGGCTTGCTTGACGATTTCCTTGAGCAGCTTCCTCTCCTGTTCACCAACCATAGAGACCGACCTGCAAGGGGAGACATGAAGATGCATTCAGCTCACCTGTTCAAAAAGAAATGGAAGGTAGCTCTGAACATGATTAGGACAACACAAAGAACAAAATTAATAAAATGCACCAAGATATGAAGGTGAAACACAAAAGAAAGTGCTGTTAAAGTTTGCAAACCAGAGGAGTTTTAACCAGGCAACAAAAGGACTCAAAGAGTTGCCAAAAATACTGAACGAGAAGCATGCATGAACATACCTTCCACTTTTGCCAGCACGTGCCGTACGACCCACACGGTGCACGTAGTGCTGTACCGTATGAGGCAGTGTGAAGTTGATCACCTGCGAAAGACAAACGAAAGTGGATGAGAGCAATCATCAACATATGTTTTCCAATAAAGCTTGATACGAATCTTGCAAACATTACTAATTTGACACTAAAAAAAAAAAAAATTGCATCAAATTAAAAACATGCAACAACTGAGTGCTAGAAAAGGGAAGTGCACACGGGGCATTTCATGGGTAATGACTGGTATTTTATAGGACTTGATTTTTCACGAAAACCTAATATTCACTAGTTTTGAGGCTTAAAAATCTTATCAAAAAATGAATTGTGCGATTACACCACCTTCCAGCAACAAATATAGGGCCCATACCACTTCCAATCGTGAAAATATTTTCTCACAAAATTCCCTAATCCCGTAACTGGAAATATTTGCGAAACATTGAGCCCACAAAAGTTAATTAATTTACAATATTTGCGAGGAGAATTTTTAGATTTAAATGTAATTACATGTGAACCTAGCAAATGACACATTGGCAAGATGTGCAGAGTGCGCTGGTCTGCCAAGCGTGTGAGTTTCTAAAAGCCTACGCTCGAGTTATTTGAATAGCAGGGAACACTAAGTGTGGCCCACGAGTACACCAAGAGTATCTTTTGGGACAAAGAAGTAATTGTGTTGTGTGTATGTTTATACAGCAGGAAGTTAGCCCAAATAGGCATCTGATGTCCCCGCTGTAGATGAGAACTTTAGCCAGTGCAGTACCCCCGCTAATCTGGGGACTTTAACGTGCACCGAGCAGTAATGATACACGACAACACACCAGTACGATGCTTGTGTAGATCGAACCGGGCACAGGTGGGGACTGAATCTAGGATTTTCAAGTTTTGTGGCATGAGCTATGGCTCCACACACTCAAAGCCATGATGCGTCAACACGCTCGGCCATCTTTCTTCCCCTCGACAATAAGCTTCTCCCACAATGGCACCGGGAACAGAAACACCAATTTAGACCCAAGCCAAACCGTCTGGCACCTGAGAGAGGCACTCACGGTCTTGACGTCCTTGATGTCGAGGCCGCGCGCAACCAGGTCGGTGGTGACAAGGACGTCCACCTCAAGCTCCTTGAAGCGGTGCAGGGCCTCCAGCCGCTGGGCCTGGTTCAGGTTTCCGTGCAGCTCGTCCGCACGCACGCCCAGGAGTCCCAGCAGCACGCGCAGCCGGTGGGCCAGCTTTTTGGTTTGCACAAACACAATCGTGTGGTCGTGGAACGTCCGGCAGACCAGCGCTGGGCAGAGGGAGGAAGTGGATGGGAAAGGGCAACGACGTGCTCACTTGAATTGCCACAGTAAATACTTGACAGTACCAGAGCACAGAGCATGACGGAGATAGCATGAACGAGCAACTCCTAATTTTTCTTGGTTCTCTTTCTTAGAATACAGTGTAATCCACTTAGAACGATATCACATATAACGATGTCCTGCTTATAACAATCAGTTTCTAAAAACTTTAGACTAGAAATGCTGTTTCTAGTCCCAGATACAATGATAATCAGTTATAACGATTGAATTTTCGGGCAGCCCGAGCCCGAGCATCGAACGAATCATTCGCTCGTAAGCCGGCTTGTAGGTGCTTTAATGAGTGCAGGGGTGGAACTCATGAAATGTGCTTGGGAGCAGCCACGGGAGCAGCTAAAACAGCTGTTTTGGAGCAGGTTGGGAGCAGCTAAAACTACACTCTGGAGCAGGCTAGGAGCAGCTCAGATCAGTTTTCATTGCACTCCAGCTTCTGTCTTAGACAAGCACGGGGGCAATTTCAGTTGTGCTTAGCAGCCCAGATAAACATGAGCGGTTAGGGACCTAGGCAGATGGGATAACAGTGTAACAGATGCGAAAACTTGGAACTTTGTGAGCCTTGGTAATTTCTGAGTGGCTTTCAGCTGCTCAAAATGCAAACCAGCACCGCTTATCGCACAGTCCGCACGTCCTCGACAGAGTGATTTTATGTGCGAACCACGTGACGTGCGTAAGCAACGAACGTGCAGTTGCGGGGAAGAACAGGGAAACAAATTTCGAGTTTCTCATATTGCGCAACACAATATCGCAACAAAATTCGAGTTTATCCTATTGTGCAACTCAATATCGAAGCAGCAGACTACGATTAACGGAGTTATCGTATTTGAAGCGATAAGCAGGAGCAAGGTTAACGTATGCCGAGCAGATCTACCGCTCGCGTGAGAGCTGCTGGCCGGCAAGGTTTCGGATCGGACTGCGTTTCAGATCTATCAAATCACGATTTATCTTGCAGGAATGCGGTTCCAACTTCTAACGATGAAGTGCTCAAAGGAATCTTTTGCTCCTTTGTTTTCAACTGACTGACGTCCGGATCCCGGGCTTCGGAGCCTCAGGCAATCTGACGCTTAACGACTCGACCTTACCTCGACCGACTTGTTTAACCGCTTATGGTTCAAGAATAACAATCCAGAGGCAGGTGGTGTAGCGCTTGGAATCCGAACCCAGAGTTTTTTTCGCACACTTCCTACTCGGGATACACAGGGAGAATAAAGAGAAAAAAAGGATTGCAAGGCCGACCACGCTAAACGCGATCATTGTTGCCAATCGAGTCGATAGAAACCGAAACCAAGACAAAATACAATTTTTTTGGCGCACGCTTTCCAATTTGGTGCATAATGGCGCGAGGTATTGACTGTGGCGCAGTTTCCGAAACATGGCGCAGAATGGCGCAGACAAATGCGTCTGGCGCAAAATGGCGCAAATGGCGCAGCCGTTCCACCCCTGTGAGTGTCATTCAGCCAGATATAGAGTACACAGCACAAAAAGCTCACATCAACTTACACCTTTCCCTTTCGTTTCTGTCATACTATGCTTGCTCTCAATGATAGCAGGGGTGTGCAAATAGCGATTCAAATCAAATTGAGCCACGTTATTTGTAGCCTTTCCGGTGTAAAAAAAAAAGCCACTAATATTGTCTTTTTTTTCTTTTTTTCACCGTTGAAGCCAGGAGTGTTGCGGCCCTATTCGATACGAAGCAATATTTGTACTCTCCTGGTCGATACACATGTAACCATTTAAACTGGTAACATCACCAAGGATGCGAGGTACAAATGAGGCGATCACATCGAAACAAGTTGGTGCACTTTTGCATCTCGCTTTGGGTGACTCCACTATAGTCACTTACAGAATGAAAACTGCAGAGCATGTCATTCCAACGCCTGGCCTCCAGCACGCACCATGTGCCCTTTCGCTGCACACGCACGCTTGAGATGCACAAGACGTTGGAGTCTTGTAGAAGATAGAAAACTTGCGTTGGAGGCAGGAGAACTGAAGCCCCTCTACCATTCTCACCTTGTGAGTGACTACAGCAGGAACAATAAATCTGTAACTCTTAAACTATAAAAATACCGAGCTTGTCAAAAAACCCGAGTGCACACCTGCCAAGATGGCCTCCCGGTCGCCTTCCCTCTGCGGCCTGACGCGGATGAACTCTTGCCTCAGGTTGAGTGCCACGTCTGTGTTGTTGTTGAGGAACAGCTTGACCGGCTTTTGCAACGAAACTGCCGCGAGGTCTTTGACCTGAAAATTGCCACCACCTTTATTGGAATGCCCACTATTCACATCTACCATGCTATCTGCACCTGATAACTTTTTTCGTGAGCTAGTGACGGCACTCGGGCTGATGCCCAAAGGGGACGAGGTTTGCAGCATTGCTCCTGGTAGTCTCACTGGTGCCGGCGAGCGACAGTGATGGTAGCTCAAGAGCGCGGCTCAAAACGTTCCCACCTAATTTAAGTCTTTACTAGGCAGGACATTGTTTGGCTGTCTATGCCGTTTGTTCACTGTTATCTCCCGTTAAAGCAAGTCTGGTAGTAATCGACATATCACAGAAATCCTAAATCCTTAGTTTGTGACATTGAATGTTGTGCTTTTGTTTTTACACCAGCTAAAAGGTTTGTATGAAAATAATCTTTTCTTAAATATAGAACTGTATGTTAATCACCAGATAGCTAGTAGAAGGATTTCGTAAGCTTACAATTTGATGAATTACTGTAAAGTTTAGAAAGAATGCCCACCCAAAATGAAGAGATAAATGGTGATAAATGGTGGGGTGAGCTATCTTTGGGGATGCCACAGTAAAACTTTATCAAAAATTATTGATAAACACCCTGGCACTAGCTACAAACCACATGACGCGGGAACTGATACCGCAGACCGCGGACACCGCAAATTTGCGTTTCACAATGCGATGAAAACGCGGGAATTCGCAACAAACTCCTGTGTCACGGGAAAGGATACTGCAGGTTGCGGATGCAGCAGATTTTACGGTGCGAAAGTCTTGCATAAACCCGCTAAGAATTCGCATCTCATGGGAACGAATAATGCAAATCGCGGAAGCAGCAGATTCAAGTTTTATGGTGCAATAAACACGTGGGAACCCGTTACAAACATGCCTGTCACAAGAACTGATATCACGCGTGCAGATTGCGAACAAAAACGCGAAAATCCACTACCAACTCATATTTTACGGGAACTAATACCACAGATCGCGACAACGGCAGAATCATATTTCACGATGCAATATACAGATGGGACCAACTCGTGTAGAATCGAGATCGCGAGCGGATTGTGGACAAAAACGCAGGAATCTGCTATAAACATGATGTCACGGAAAAGGATACCGCAGATTGCGGACGCAGCAGATTCGCACAATGCAACATACACACGGGAAGAACTTGCGTGTTATGGGGCCCATAATATCACGTGCGCAGGTCGCGGACAAAAATGTGGGAACCCGCTATGAACTCACTTGTCAGACGTGCCGGTACAGCAAATTGCACGGTTGATGCGATTCTTGTCAGACGTCGCGTAACATTCGACAGGAATCGAGAAGTGGGCAATGTTTCGGAATTTTTATGTTACAGATATTTAGCCAGAAAAACGAGATGGGCGATCTCTCGGGGGGAAACATTCTCTCAGAACTTTATGGCAATCAATTAGTCAAGGAAGAAACTGACCTCCTCAGTCATTGTTGCCGAGAACAGCATTGTCTGCCTCGTTGGGGCGCACTGCCGAATGATCTCCTTCATTTGCTCCGCAAACGTGTCGTCCAACATTCTGAAAGAAAGAGGAAGTTCCAACATTCTTGAGTGGACAATTCCAGAACTCGTAAAACACGCCAGTATCGGAGACAAACTTTAAGCCTCACAATTATCAAGCTTAAAGAAACAGTGAAACAGAGGCTGGTGACAAAAAACCAGATGACCTTCACCTCCAACGCCCAATTATCTTGTCAGGATGGCAGTGGGCCTTTTGTGCGATGTGTCAAGTTCTAAACTGCAGCAGTCTTTTTTGTTTTTTTTTATGTCTTTCTGTTGCAGAGGTTTATGGGCAGTAGGAAAAGATATCAAAGCTTCATAAGAGTCCTTTTTTAAAAAATTAGGACGTTAAAAAAAAAAAAAATTCCTATTTCATATTTTACGAATGTAAAGTGCTCATTGTGGACCCTAGTTAGCCAAAGCAAAGATTCCTTCAAAGGGCCTTAGCCGTACTTGTCTGCCTCGTCCAGTATGAGAACCTCAATGTTGTGCAGGTCGAAGCCGGGTGTGTTCTGCAGGTGGTCGATGAGACGGCCCGGGGTGGCGATGATGATGTCGGGCACCCTGCGAAGTGCTGCCTCCTGGGCCTTCAGATCCAGGCCACCTGAATGGACGGAGGAGGGGCCACAAGTTGTCACACTGGTTCCACACAAAGTTACCACTAGGCTAGAGTCCTGTCTGTGCACAAGCGCCACAAGAGCTGAAGTGAATGTAGCCAAGTCTAACCCCAGTTACAACTTTCAACTGTCACTCTCTCGTTTTTCAACATGAGGCTCCCAAGCACCTTTGTATCTAAAAATCAATTCTGCATCTGTCGAGGGATTCTTTGAAAACTGACGTGTCCTTTTGCCATGGAAACTGGAGTAGACACTTGTTATTCACGCATATGAAATATAGGACCAAAAAAACAAAGAAAAACAAAGTCAAACAAGATCAAGCAACATGGAGACAAGGAAGACAAGAATGGCACATCCGTGGGGTGTCATTTGAGCACTAAAATACCTTTGAAAGCGCACTTTGACTCTTCCAACATGGTCTAAGTGCCAGAAAACACCACGAGATCCAGCATACGATTAGGGTCCCTAGATTCACGGCAAAACCCGATATCACAAACTAGTCGAGTAGCAGAAGCGGTTCCAAAATGAAGGTTAAACCCGGTTCCTACTGTAAAACAGTTGGGCTACGATCTCCAAAACCACACTTCTCAACTCCTAAGAAAAAGCCAAATGACTGCACACGACAGGGACTTGGTCAAGAGGGCAAGGGTGAGCGACCCCACTCACCCGCCGAGAGCGCGATCATGACGTTGGTGAACTGTGCCAGCTGCAGGCTGACTTGGTACACCTGCACCGCTAGCTCCCGGGTGGGCACCACCACCAGCACCCGCGTCACCAGCTCCTGCTTGGGCTTGAACAGCAGGCGTTCCAGCACAGGCAGCATAAATGCGGCTGTCTTGCCTGAAAGCATTGCACCATTATAGTCGCCGCTGTACACTACCTCTCTCTAAAACGCAACATCTATAGCCTGCTGCAGGTTATAAAAAGCAAGACAAGCCTCTCCCACAAAGCTCTCTGCACGCCATAATTGGTAGTTTCCCCCTCTCCAGTGGTAACTCTGCAAAAGTGGAAAGAGTGAGCTCATCCTGCTCTTATTAATCTGCAAAAGACTATAGAGCCACTGAATGTTCACAGAGTAGCACAACCCCCTACACTTTGTTACAGAATCCCCTTCGCAGCACTAGAATTGATGGCCCCAAATTGGCGCCCAAAGCAGGGCGGACAACTTGGCAGTGCCCGCACACTACCAGGCAAACAGCCAACATTCTTCTTGCGCAGACTAGATTATAAAGGCAACTTGCCCACTGGCAAAAACTGACGTGTTTGTCGCCTTCCAACTGGTCGTGAGCTTGCCTGCTGTTTAGAGCCAGGGCATAAATGTTTTAAGTGTATTTTCCACTTTTTGTGTTCTCAGGCCTTAAGATGGCCAACACTGGCCAATCAGAAAGCTCGACTAACTCGATTCTCCAGCTCAAGCGGATACCGTGTTGTGCGGTACCCTGGGGGCATTCAGTAACTCTGGTGACACCAAAAGGTGGCATTGTTATGGCTCTGCCTCACGGTGTATTGAGGAGATTGGGACAGAAAGCTCCCGTGTGGATTTGAGGGCTGACCTGTTCCCGTGGCTGCACATGCATAAATGTCGCGGCCGAGAAGTCCCATGGGTATGGTGGAAGCCTGGATCGGTGTCGGGTACACAAAGTTCATTGCTGTGAGGGCCTGTGAAAAGTAAGAGGGTGGTGTGAATTGGGAGATTATCGAGATCAATGATGACCTAGCTTCACACTAGTATATATAATTTTTCTTTTCTGGAAATGTATTTATCAGAAAAGTAGTTCCCAAACAAATAGTTGGGCAAACTTTGATGAAAGATAGCTGTTTCTTAATTCTGAAAGGTGTTGTAGTCCATAATAGAATAGACCTTTCTAAGCAGCAGAGGGCAAACTGTTTCATCTAGAAACATATATGATGTCAAATTTTATCTTGGCAGCAAATCTAAGCTTAGAAGCTCGAAGCCAGAATCAACATACCCAAATGACTACGCTTTGTCAAGTTATTTAGAGTGATGTCTAAAGGTCAATTAGGGCTGCCAGACTGCCAGATTCTGAAAAAAGGTTTGCTACTCTAAGCTTGCCAAGAAACAAGTGATCCCTTACTTTTAGTAAAGGCCTCGACAGGTTCATTTGTTGGAAAGAGGTGTCCTCGTCCCCAAAAAAGGCACTCGTGACGTCTTCTTCATCCTGCAAGGAGTGGGGTACCATTGGAATGCAGCGACAGCAGGCACTTACAGTTCGTCCTGCTCTCAATCAAAGATGCGGGTCATACCTCTGCCTCTCCTGCAGCCTTTTGTTTCCTTTTGGAACCCTTTGTTTTCTTCTTTTTAGTCTTGAGTGTGTCTGTCGGAGAATACATTTGTCAGTACTTATTACTAGCTCTACAGTTTATCAAATGAATCCACCGGATGTAGACAGATGTCGCAGAATACTTCATAACGAAAGCACTCCAGGCTTCCAAATGACACGGCCGTTTTACCTCTGATGTCCTGTGTCTCATCTTGCAGGTTTTTGTCAAGCTTCACTTCTTGGTGGTTCTTCCCCTGAAATGTGTAAAAAACAGACATGTATACCTAAATATTTAAGTTGCTCCCAAGATCGGCCTCTCAAGAAAGGAAAGTATAAGCGGCCTTAGGAGTCACCATGCTTTGCCTTCTCAAGGTCTATGACAGCAAGAGGAGCAGAGCAGAGAGGAAGTGATATACCAACATGTCTCTTGAAGACTTAGAATGCCACGGTTTGCACAGCTGCTTCTCAACTTCTTTTTGTCAACGTACGCTCAGCAGCAACCTACAATTAATGACTGACAAGCGATAAAAATTTGCTGATATCCGTGCACTATAGTCACTGATTGAGTGAGAACGGCGAGGCGTGTCTTGTGAACGCTTACACTCCAGCATGCACTCGAGGTGGACGAAACGCTGAAAAGTTGTAGAAGGTCGAAAGCTCGTGCCGGATGTGGGTGATGTTGAACAACTCAAGTTCCTCCCGGTCGTTCTCCCTTGGTCAGTGACCATAGATAGTCCAAAATTGGAAGGTGTCACCAGATTATCCAATGTACAGTTAGCACAAACATGACACAGTCACTTACCCTTACTTTACTCAGACAGGGGACTGAAGAGCATTAAATTCACATCTTAGACATGAGCATTAGCCACCATATTAGTTTTGACCAAAGCCTTTCAATTAGAAGAGAAAACAGGTGATCAATTGTTCGTGCTAACTGTCTCTGTTCGATTACATCACATAACGTCTCTAATTACTACAGCCCTGAAAAGGTAACATGGAAACAGAATGCAAGGGTGCGAGTGAGCTGTTGTATACTGAACATTTTGAAGCAACCCGAGACAGAGGAATACGAAAGGTGACGACCAAGAGAAGAAGAACGTCTCAAACACAGCTAAAATTTTATTGCAGACAGAAGCTTGACAGTTTAGTCTGCAATCAAATTTTAGCTGCATTTGAGATGTTCTCCTTCTCTTGGTGTCACCTTTCGTATTCCCCAGTCTCGAGTTGCGTCAAAATGTAAGGTAACATGCCTTGACTACAGGCTAAAGACCGCAGCTTTCAGATTGTAGGCTACAAGGGTAACTTACAGCTCTCTTCTCGATGGCCTTTGATATTTTTTCGTCAATCTTGACGCTTTTCTTCTTTTTGACTAACTTCGTCAGGTCGCTCCAGGTGTCGCGGAAATACTCAGATGCGTTGTCCACGAAACTGAACTTTGGGGAGAATTCGAACTGTGCGAAGAAATCGAGAGCTCAGCGTCAACAAGCGTGATCGTTTTAAGATTGCGTGAGACAGTGCACTTGTTCTGATATTCTTCTCAATACAAAATAAATTACGTAGAACACTGACAGACACACCCTTCAGGGGATTCGAATATTATGCACACCGAAGTTCGGTGTTAGATCCCACTCACAAAACTGAATTACAGTTACTACGTGAGGATCAGCAAGAGTGCGATGTATTTGGACGGTTTTAAACGCAAAACTCCACCGATTTGGCATGCGGACAAGAGGAAACATATTCACCTCTTCGTCGCTGTCATTTTCATCGGACAAATCTGGTTCTGTGGTCATTATTATACCTTCAAAACAAAGTGACCTACAGAATCATAGACCATGCAGTAACCACACACGTGCAGACAAACCAGACAAACGCCGTGACGGAATGCGGTGGCGCTGGTGGCGCCTAAATGGCATCATTATCATCGTTCTTTCATTTTGCGCAGGTGGCCAAAAATGGCTCCAACCTATCTCTCTGAAAATTTAAGTTCCAAACATTGGACAAAGTTTGTTTGGGATTAGGGAAGGCGGTAGGTATGTGAAATGACTCGGTGATCAATTCCTTAAAATCTTACGGGGCCGGTGATAAGCAAACACTGCGTACCCATTGTCAGCAGTTATTTTCTAAAATCGCATTGATGGCGGCAAATAACCTGATGAGCATCTTCCGATCCTCCGTTGTAAGACTGGACTTGTTGAAATCGGTTTCGGTTTTGTAAATATCGTGTCAAAATAATTTCACGATTTTTTTTTTTTTTTTGCATTTTAAATTTTTGAGATGCTTTCCTCACTTGCCTCGCACTACGTGTGACAACGCTGTTAACGTATAGTGCGCCATTAACAACTGTTTTGATGTATTGTTTTGAGGCGAAAGCCTTACTTGTCCAGTTGAGCGAAAAAGCGGCGTATATGGCCATAAAAATACGATTGAGCGGCACGCGCCGCTCAATCGTATGCTCAAGGACGACGCTGTTCTTGGCGTCGTCCTTGAGGTCGTCCTAGAGATCGTCCTAGACCTCTAGGACAACCTTACTTGCCCCATTACGCGAAAAGGCGGCGTCGTGCTCGAAAGATGGCCATAAAGTACGTCATCACGCATGCGCCGCACACGCTCAAGTACGGGACCGTGATGTCACCGCCGGGGCGGCGTGTGCAATAGGCTCCTTGCATTGACGTCACATCGCACACATTTGCACACCAAGTAAAAGGAGGAGAGGGAAGCTGCTTTTGTAAGAATTTTGAGTGACGGGTTAATCTTCTATAATCTTCTGGGAGGAGAATAGCGACGCCTGTGCAAATCCGGAAGGCACAAAGGAGGGTCCTGATAAGAGGGGAGCTCCTTCTCCCCCTCTTCTCTGGAGGGTATCGGAAATGACGTCATGTGCAAGGAGCCTATAGGTGCACTTCAGACTTATTTGTGCTCTTTGCGTGCTTCGTGCGATGGAGTGTGAGGCGTCCGCGTCTACATCTACGGCCTCGACATCGGCAGCAGCGTCTACATCTACGGCGGCTTCCGCAGACAAACGTGGCCGTCCACGCAAATACGCCACAGCCTCCTTAAGCGTCATCCTATAGGTGTCTTTCCAGACGTCCTAGAGGTCGTGCTAAACATAGTTTGTCACGTCGTCATCCTTGACGTCGTCCTAGACGTCACCCTTGAGGTTGTCCGAAAGATCGTCCTCAGCGTTGTCGTAGACGCCGTCCTTGACATCGTCCTCGACATTGTCCTAGAGGTCGTCCTAGACGCCATACTTGGCATTAATCTCTAGGACGACGTCCTCGACGTTGTTTTCTACGTTGTCTTATACTTTAATACATGTAGAAACATTACTCGAAAACTTTTCTCTTTACACTACACGTAAGCAGTCTTGAGTGTCCTCCTGTAACTTTTCTTTTCAGATCTTGTCCCAAACATTTACTTGTTCAGCTATGCGTGTCCACTTCAAGTGCCGAAATGCAGCGTACCCCGCAACAAGTGTAGAACGTTTCCACGTCCCTGACGACAAGGTCGATTGGTCCGTGGACTGGCCAGACTACAGGCCTCCGTCTTTCAGCATACTCGGCCTTAAGTCCAAGCCTTGGGCAGACCCAGAGCTGAGGTAAAACACCACTTGCAGAAACCTTTGATCTACTTCACTAAACATTTGCTTGCGGTGTGTGCGAACTACAGGGGGCAGTTCTTTAGGTATCGTCATCATCGTTTGTGACGTCACGGATAGGACAGACTGGGACAGACTGTGCAGATCCTGGATCCCTCGGCTCGCTGGCTCGCTTGATGCGCTGTTGGGGTAATGCGCAGCAAGGCGTTTCACGCATTCTGTTAATTTGGTGAAGTGATATCTGTAGTAGGACATTTTACCAAAGTTTGAAGCCGCACGTGGCACGTGTAGTCTTGCCAACAAACACTTCTGGTGCTGAAGTGTCTGTGCGCTCGAATGCTGGTGTGTTGTTCTCTACCCAGTACAAAAAGCTGGATGACAAAAATAGAATGTCCGGCGCTTTATTCCACTGCAACATCTACTTAGGCGAATAGGGTGTATTTTTTATTATGACTCGGACAAAATAAAACTAAGAAAAGAATGTCTCATCAAAATAAAAATAAGGAAGCGAATTCGAGAACTTCTCGCATGTGGTAAACACTTCAGTGAAAGCGACTCCGTGTATCCTGTTGCGTCCAATGTGTTCTATGAGTGCTGGTCTCTTATTAGTTCCAAGTTTATTCCTTTTTTAATTTTTGTAAACCAGTAAACAAACATTTCCTTAAAATAACTGGCGGGAAGAAGTGGTGGCTGGCTTCCGGAGTCATTACAACTAAATCCTTGCTTATTCACCTGGTCGACGCGAAACGCGCGAGACACTCTCGCGATCAAAGTCTTGAGTCTAGTTAGTCGGTGACACTTCAGCGTCCCAAAAAATGAGGAATAAGCCTGCCATGAATTATTACCGTTTGTATGTTTAATTTTTGCGCACCCCATTGTGCAAAATGTGTGATGCGCTTCTCAGCGAGCAATTTTAAATTTGTAAACAATTCTTAGTAAAAATAGGGTGGAACAAATTAATCAATCGCCTGAATTTTCCGGACTATGGCCAACAATTTAAGAATTGATGGAAGTGTCTGCTTTTCTTTCGAGCAGAAGTTGAGATGTTACAATCTCCTTTGTCACATATTCGATTTGGGAGGAGAAAGGTGTCAGTTGCTGATGAGAGTCCCACTTGGGTAGAAGCATTGGTACCGGCAAGCTCAATTTGTAGCTAAAACAAGTGTGCAGCATTTCGCAACACAACTATGCTCGCGTGCACAGCTAAGAAGACTGCACATAATTCACTCTGGTGAATGCAAAACCTTTTTCTACAGCAGCCTTTACACATACCAAAAAAAGAAGAATCAGAGGGCTGGGAATAGCCGAACGTACGCTGTGCAAGCTGTAATGTGAAGCTCCGGGCTTGTTTTTGAACATTCTTTTAGTTTTCCTAGTACGAAAAACAACTTTGAGACGCTGTTATTTATTTGAAAGATCAGTCGCAAAAATATTATATGCGTTTCTATAATAATTAAACCGTTCTTAATCGGCACAGATGCGAACTAACATAGGCACTTTGTGCTTTGACGTAGCGTGTCGTCTGCTCTCATCCTACCAGCTACGTCACAGGAGAGCGCCCGCGAGGTGGCACCACCAAAACATCTCGTCACCAACATAGGCAGTCAAAACTCTGCAAGAAAAAAAGAAAAAAAAGAAGAGGACGTTTTAATACACAAACTATTCATGGCTTGCACTGACGTCACAACAGCTCCCATTGTGATGACCTTGTCAATGAGCGTGAGCATATGTGCCTTCACCCAATTCGTTTCTTTTTTCGGCAAGAACAAGCAGGAATGAGCACCAGCACGGTGCAATGACATCACGTCTGTAGCTGCTCTGCTTCTAGTGCAACCTTTCTGCCTTTGGTAACACTTCGTCGTACACGCAGCCAAAGCTTGGTGCAAGTAAACACTGCATGCTGAAGACAGTGCTTTTTCTGCATTCCTAGCCTGTTACTGACTATAGCGTGCATATATGGGTAGGTCAGTAAAACTTCAGTGTAAAATTTCACCGGAAATGTACAATTTAAAGGTAGAAAATAAAAAAAAAATAAAACTTTGTTGGGCACTTAATTTAAATGTGCACAAATGTGAAACATAAGCAGAGTATTGTGAGCAGTTATGTATCATGAACAGCATCCAAGACCAAGCAAAGTACAAAGAAAAGAATGAGCACATACCATTGAGCAGAACAAAACTTGTAGCAGCTCATGACATTGTTTCTATACTGTCAAGACCGGTTATAACGAAGTCGGTTATAATGAAATAGCGGCTACAGCGAAGCGATCACGATTTCTCATTCCCTGTTGCACTTCGTTACAACCGAAGTCGGTTATAACGAAATAACGGATATAATAAAGTGATTTCCGATTCCCGTTAACTTCATTATAACTGGTCTTGACTGTACATCGTTCATTCCTAAACTGAGACTGCGATAGAAGCCACGTTTTCATTGGATGAGTCGTACGCCTCTCTTTCGACACGTGATCAGGCTCGCGCCCTTAGTCACGCGCAAGTCTGGGTCGGTTAATGAAAGGGAGGTGGCTGATCGCAGCTTTCGCCACAGTCTCAGCTTAGGGGTGAATGGAGTATAGCCATTACATAAACGTCTAGACGTACAGGCAGCACTATATGGCTACATACACCATACAAATAAGCCCCGTTGCATTTTTATCCCCCATTCAACTTATTCAAACTTATACTCGGGATACAAAGCCAGCATACGCCAAGAAGCACTTTCCATAACCCAAGAAAAAATGAAGGCGAAATCGCTGCTGTGGCTACGCTGATTCTCGACGAAGTGCGCTAGCATTTAGTGCCGCGGTTCCGACTCGGCGAAAGACGGGAATTCCAACCTCGCGACGGTTCGCATACTGTTGTCTTCGTAGAGCCAGTCTGTTCTCCCGGGCGTAGGTGGTTTTGGACACAGCCACCCTCGATCGCCACCTATGGTCCACATACTGTTGTCTTCGAAATGCCCGTCTTTCCTCTTGGGTGTTGGCGGTTTCATGCAAACGGCGTCATCGCTGTGTCTTGGTTTTACATTATTGCGCATATTGTGCATGCTGAGGAAACAAAACCATGTGCCTGCGCCGCATCATAAGAAGAGTGCGCGTCAACAGCGGCGTGTCATCGGAAGTGTATGAGAAGACCCTTTTCTTCCTACGTAAGAGGGAAAGTGGATGCAACGAGCGAACAAATGGAGCGATAGAGCAATTCATTATAGATGACTGGGAATTTGTATGGCAGCACTTTTACCTCCGAGCCATCGAGGCAGCTTTTGAACACCCATAAAAGTTCCAGGTCGAGCAAGCTCTTCCCAGACACGTACACATTACTGAAATAAAGTAACTTTCGTTTGTTACTCGAAAAGTTAAAAAGGAACACATTACCTCTGTTTAAAAGTAATGCATTATTTTCTCGTTACTCCGAATCTGTCGTGTTTATGAAAAAGTAACCACTTCCAATATTTGTCGTTGTTAATAATATTGTGCGTTTTAACACGTTCATTCATGGATATCTGGCTATGCCAATATACCACCTGCTCATATTTTTATGGTCTATCTAGCATTTTCTCATCTTGCAAATTGCACGCGCGAGAACTACTGGGTGTATCAAGGAGTGGCCAGGCTCTTTAAATCGACCGCAAAATTTGGTTTCTTAACCCATCGCGTTCCGATTTTGTACAGCGTTGGCCATAGGTGGTGCCTTTTTTCTATAAAATTCGCAAAGAGCGAGCTCACCTGTGGAAAAAGTAAAAAAAGAAAAAGGCTTAACTCCTATGGAAACGCAGCGAAGCCACCGCTCTTCAAACCATAGGTCGCCCCATGGTTTGAAGACCGGTGGCTTCGCTGTGTTTCCATAGGAGTTAAGCCTTTTTTTTTTTTTTACTTTTTCCTCAGGTAAGTTTGCTCTTTGCGAATTTTATAGAAAAAAGGCTCCATCTGTGGCCAACGCTGTACAAAATCAGAACGTGATACGTTAAGAAACCGAATTTAGCGGTCGATTTAAAGAGCCTGGCCACTCCTTGATACACCCAGTAGATTGGGTGCTTGTGTTGTACACGTTCCCCTCTAAGAGTAATTGAAATTTTGTTGCTCCTTACTTTGTCAAAAGATCAACGAAAAATATGTTCCTCAGTCCTTCTCTTAAAAGATAACTAGGTTGTTACTTTTTATACAATAAAAGTAAAAAGTAACTACAATGAGATGTCACTTGTACTGCTTTACATACAAGTCTTGTCCTTCTGTTTTGACAGTGCAAAGCATTCGTCTTCTGGTTTTGGAAGAGCTCTTGGTGTTTTGTGGAAATCGTACCGTTGTTAGGTGTTTGCTTCGTTCTGTTCAGCGACCCTGCATTCCGGCCTGCCTGGAACAGCCTGGACGGGAAGGTGGACCGGAGGAGCCACGAAGGAGCGTACACGCTGGCAGAGGGCGCACCCCAAAATCCCCACGGGAGGACTGGGCTTCTGGGCAGGGGCCGGCTGGGACGCTGGGGACCCAATCATGCAGCAGACCCTGTGGTCACCAGGTGATGCCCTCCGACGGTCTGCAGACTACCGCAGGATAGATTGATGGTGGCCATTCCATGTTGTGCTAAGTGTTACATGCAGGGCACAAAATTATCCAAACACCATGGGGCATCCTGCAGGCGTAGCTACACGTGTCGCATCTGCTAACATGTGCAACATAACTTTTCTAAGGTAACACTCGTCATCACCTTATTGTAGCACTTCAAATCTTTCAGCTAGATAACGTGAATCTGTGCAGCATACAGTTATATCTCGGTAATATGGAGCCCACTAACATGAATACCTTTTATAAAGACACCATTTTTGGGGAGAGGCTGGAAAAATACAGGCACTTTTGTCTCATTATTTGGACAACTTACATCGTGGACTATTTTTTGCAGGAACAAAGGTTTCCATATTAACGAGACATCACGGTGTATAGCATACATTCCTACCATTCTCGCAAGTGCTTGGGTGATATGGCAAATCATCTATTCGGAAGGATCAATTTGTAACCGGTACTTATCTGTATAGCTTTTGAAAGATTGCTCTACTTTGATGGCTTGCTTAGCACTGAGGCTATGATCAGCAGTTATTGGCTATACATAAATTTGCTGGTCATTCTATACTATTGCATTGGATGAGATAGTGTTAAATTTGTTATTTATGAGGCTGAAGCTTATTCTTTTCAGTCTCCACATTTGGGGAGGCTGAAGAAAGTCTTCATTATGCTGAAGAACTTCGTAATCTGCCCTTACATCTGTTGATGGTGATCAGGGTTGGGCAGAAATACTCAAAAATGTATTTGGAAATACAAATACTGGGATACATTAAAATAATAGCTAAAATACTGATACTGAAATACATCTGTAAAAGTGTATCGCAATACGTATCGGAAATACATTTTAAATAGAGGCAAAAAAGTATTTGGAAATACAAATACTGGAATACATTTTATGGAGAGCAGAAATACAAATACGTAAATACTGATTGATACTGCAATACATTTTTCACATTTGTTTGAGATGCCCAATGATATGAAGCTTGAAGTTGGAAGCTTTTGATCCTGGAATTACTTTCCTGTAGGCTTGGCACTTTGCCTTGAAGGTAGTGATTTTGGATGACGAGGAGTCTTCAATGGGCTCAAAAAAAAAAAAAACGTTCCATCAAGGACGGATTGCGGTCCCTTCCCTGACATCCTGTCTGTCTGACAAAGGATGCGAAAAGACTTCGACTTCTAAATAAATTTTATGTCATCCTAAATCGCATCAAAACGTCACCACACCCCTGTCTGATAAGGACGCCCCTGTCAACATTTATCACATGACGTGACTGTGGAATGAACTGGTATTCTTTATCTGTAGGTGTTGCCTTGAACATGAAACTTTACTGCGCTGCTGTATGAAAGGACAATACATACTTTCGTTGTAGCTTACCTCATTGAAGATCATGCAGGCAGTGTCATTTGGAATTTTCGAGAATAGTGGACCACCTGAAGCATCCTGGAACACATGTCTTATCTTCTGTTACGGTTGAAAAAAACTATATGGTGGCATCCCTGTTGTGAAGGCCCTTTCTGCCGACCCTCCGCCACCGACGCATGAATTGCAGTCCTCAAGTTTCGCCTTGCATACTCCAAATAGAGACCTCGTGGATTGCGACCTGATATTGCCAGTACAGGTGCGAGCTCTCCGAGAAACAGCGCGCTCGAGACGAGTCACAGCGCAGGTGTACGAACTCGGGGTCGGCACAGCGAGGCCACGTCTGACCTCCTTGGGTTTTGGATCACCAGAGCAGCGGGTCCCTTTCACGTTGGCTGATGACGTACCCTTGAGCCGTGAAATATTACGGGCGCAGCCTCAGACACATTCGAATATGTGTTGAACTTTACTGCGTGAGTCAGCCTACTATGTCAGGTCAGCCGCCGCCAAGCTCGTGCTGCAACGGACTGTGACTCAGCTTTGCTGGCTGGGTGTACTGTGTACGCTAAGGCAAGAAGGACGGTTAGCTGCGGGCATTGGATACCAGCAAACAATGACTCAGGAAACCCCTACCTACGGACCTGCGGCACAAGATGCTCCGACTCCACTCCTGGGCCCTGGCACGCCACCTGGTTCGAGTCCTCGACTACGCAACACTTCTTAGAAGAGAGAACAGGACGCATAGAAAACTAGTTTTGAGAATCGGAAGGAACATTGGTCAGCATGGTAACAGTGATCCAGCATCTCCTTGACCCTGGTGCCCTCAAAAGTAAAAGACAAAAAAAAAAAAAAATGTTTTTGGATTTGGATTTTTTTTTTGGGAAGGTGGGGGGGGGGAGGGGGGAGTATTTCGCAAGAAATGTAACGAAATACATTTCACCCTGATTGTATCGCGATACAAAGGAACATTCAAAATGTATTTCTATACAGGAATACAGATACCGGTGAAAAAAATGTATCGCAATACAGAAATAGAGATACGAAATGTATTTCTGAAATACTATCGCGATACATTTGTATCGCGATACTGCCCGACCCTGATGGTGATGAACATATACTAGCATCCACTCGTGGGATGGCATGCAATAAGCAGATGTGCACCTTTGGATGCCCTTCATTGTACAACTCCGAGCTGTGGTAGTTGTGTTAGTTTGTAACGTGTTCAGAATAATGACCTTTTTGCAGGTGGAAAAGGGACGCCGACGGAAATGTGGTCGTGAATAACACCACCCAGCGGCCGGTCCTGCAGTTTGTGGCAATCGCTCGCAGGGATTCGGGAGAATGGGCCATTCCAGGGGTAACCACCTTTGTACCTGATGCCTGACTGCATTCTCAATTTCTTACCTAGGTTAGGCCTGGAAGCCGAAAAGGTGTTGTGGCTTAGCTGGTTGACAGTCACAATAGGAAATCTCGGTTTTAATTAAAATAAATAAAGAAAACGGACGAAGGTTGACACAGAAGGCTGTTACGAAGCTAGATTTTAATATGCGTAGTACTAATTTAATTGTAGACACAAAGAAGCCCGCAAGAATCAGTCCTCACATGCATCAAGGGAGAGTTCACCCCATTTCACAAGGTCTGAAACATCCTGCCATTAAGAAAAAGCTTTTTTGTTTTATCTGGGTCAGGTGTGATTTTAGTCGGTTTCTTGTGATTCTTTCTAACACTGGTTGCACTCAAGCAGTTCTTCCATAGTGAATGAAGTTGCAGAATCACTGTTTGAAAATGCCGTGACGTGCCAGCTTTGCTTCATGACGCCGATGCACCACACTACAAATGACTCGCAGAAAATTTTTGCAACTTGCGGACAGCTGGCGACAAGCCTACCAGGATTACAAAGTTCACTTCTTTTGAAGTGCAGACATAGCATTCTTATTTAAAAAGCAGCCCTATGGTTGCGTGAGTAGAATATGCATGACATGTTGCCTTGCGGCCTCATCTAATAATGAGGCCACGACTACCAGTCATAATCAGAATAGCTATCCAACAGGGATGGGCAAAATACACGCAAATATGTATCGAAATACAAATACAAAATACTTCGTCAGAAATGTAATTAATTACAAATCTAATTACATTTTCAGAAAAGCATTTAAGTACAAGATACAAATACAACCAAATGTATTTGGTCTCCTCCAAATACTTTTCCAAATACATTCCTCAAAATTTGCGTCAGCAACTTCAGGGCACCTGCAACGGGTTTCTGGGTATCTCATTTTAATTTTGCATCGCACTCTCCGGAGTTAGTGTGCGAGGCTCTAGTAACGTAATAGAAATATAATCACAAAAAACTGTAATCAGCTTGGACGTAATAGGTGAAAAAAGTACAGAGCTTCAAGCAGCTTTTTTTTTTTTGTCGATTACATTTTGGTATAGACCAACAAAGAACCGAGACGACCAAGACGCGCAGCACTAGCTAGAGCATTTTCTATTGTTGCAACTAGCACCAGTTCCGAAAATCTGGACGACCCCCGCACCTAGAATGTTCCAGGCAAAAATGTGGATGGAAATCAGGCTGGAAAGCATCACAAGTTGTCACAGGCACTTATTTAGTCAGTCTGCCTGTGAACGTCCATTTTGCCACTGTTCTTGCCCTGGACTAGCACCGTAATCACAGTCGCTAAACGCTTGTGTTTGATTGAGAGACACTGCATTCGGTGCAGAACATAGTTTTCTTCCTGCTCTGGACCCGTGTTGCGGAATGGGCACCCCCATTCCATTCCAATTCCATTCCGGGGAACTAGAGTTTTCAATAATTCAATTCCTTTCAATTCCTAGGAATGGAGACACTGAGCCAATTCCCACTCCTGGAATGGCTAAATCGTTCCATTCCATTCCTTTAATTCCTAAGCGTAAAACTTGGCTCTTGACAGCTACATTTTGTGGCCGGCATAACCAGCATAAAGCTGACATTATCAAATGCAAAGACAGCTGCAAAAAAAAAAAAGCTAAATTCCTCAAAAAAGCATTGATTTTTACTAAGCGGACGACTGGTGGCAGAAAGTGTTTATTTAAAATGTACTGCAAACATCGAGAAAGCCCCTTGATATGTCGATGCTTGTTTAAGACATCAGTCTTGCAACCACGTGGCTCGTAACAAACAGCAAAACTTAAATACACTAATTTTTTTTGGCAAACTTTTTGGCATTTGTCTTCTAGAACATACACGTACGGCCAGCGTGTTTGTTTGATAAGAACATAAAAATATCCAGTTCGTGCGTGGTGCAAAAATAAGCTATATTACTGTATTCTTTAAATACCTGCACAACAACACGGCTAGTACACCGCTGGAAGCGACCCCATGCACAGCGGCAGGAACACATCCTCTGACAAAATGCAACCTCTGCGGCGCAGCACGAGGGACCGTATGGACCATGTCACGAAACCTGTTTTAAAACGCATAAGTTCACGCTTGCTTTACGAATCTCGATATTTCCTATCATAAATTTTTTGGCTGGTTCGCCTGCCCTTTTCCACCCTTCGCATACTCATTCTCGTGTTTCCTCTTCAGATGGCGAATAAAGTTCCATGATATACGCCGACTGCACCGTGTATAGTTTCGTTGCACAACTTTCAGCGTGCAGCTTGTTTATTTTCTTGGCGACTAATGTAGAAAAATGTCTTCTACGATGCCATGACTCGATTTGTATTTATCTTGTCTTCTCGTCCGAATTGTGATGTTCCTCTTCGCGCTGATTGAGTGGCGGGTTCAGGCAGCAGACGGTACCAACCAATTCATTCTTCTACCTCGGTGTCGGTTGTTCGCGTTGTGGCGACGAGTCGGGAAGTCAGCATTGACAAAGCTCTTCACCTCAAGATACAATTAACGGGGTAATACCGCACCGTTCGAATTGACATTCCCCATGTTTCCTCAACAACACCGTCCAACTGACTTCTCACCGCCTCAAATAGGGTCCAGGACAAGGAGCACGAATGCAGACCGGACAGCCTGAGACGCGGGGAAGCCAACACCTCAGTGGCAGCTATCACCCAGCTCTCCTTCTCAGTTGCCCTCACAGCAACGGTCGCGCCTCGTCTGGCGCGGGACGATCTTTCTGCAGGTCTAGTCAGTTCGGTCACACCAAGAGCGGTGAGATAGTCTACTTCACCTTACGATGGACCTCAAAGACAGCACGAGAGCCATCGAAAATGCTTTCTGAGTGTCGCGTGACCCTGCATGCAGTCCCGCTCACGGTGCTGAATTGCCTAGGGTGACTCGTAGCGTCCGCAGCGGTCCATCGCAAGGTGAAACGAAGTACGCAGAGACTAAAGTCAGAGGAAATGAGCGGGAATCCGCTAGCTTGCTTGTAACCCCAACCCACTAAAATATATAACACAGAAAACAAGCATCGGAACAAAGACCAAGTAATAGGCGGACTTACACTACAAATGCAGTATAAAAAAACAAGCCTCGGAGCAAAGTGCAAGAGGAGAAGAGGGAAGTGAATCTCGCTTTGTTTTAATTCTGAAGCAAACTCACATTTCGCACTTCAAAGGAGTGCGCACGAATGAACGTGGAAGGCAGCAGGGTTGGCTGCCTGCTAAACAACGCACCTCGAACTATAAGAAAACAATACCTGATCATCTTTAGACGGCGCCTGAGTCAACGAGTTATCAGAGCTCTGCGAGTTAGGAGTCGCTTCCGCTCCCAGATATGTCTGTGCACGCGCGTGCATTCTACAAACCGTCGCAACAACAAAAAAAAGCATGACAAGAAGGACGATGAGGAGTTGTGCATGGTGGTTGCTTTCTTTGCCGCTCCCTTTTCTTTTGCTTTGTGCTTGGTTTCTTGTTTCGCTCTCGTGTAACGCCATCGAAGCCCGACGCCTGCGCATCCGTGAAAGGCGCCATGTTACCCCCCTTTCCCCCTTTGCTCTTTGCTTTGACGTTTGTTTTTTGTATTGCATTTTTTTGGCGTATAAGTCCATTAGGGCTCAACGCGGGCTAGCTGTTTCCCGCTCATTTTATTTCTGAGCAACTGACTTGCTGACTGGCTCGGTTTAGCTGACCGTAAACACTAAAAAAAAGAAAAAGAAAAGAAGAATTGTGTTTATTTTATTCCCATTCCATTCCGGGCAAAAGGCACCTAATTCCATTCCCATTCCATTCCCCTCAACGTTGCCGCCATTCCATTCCCATTCCATTCCGGGGTCGTGAAAATGCGGAATGATTCCGGAATCATTCCAACTCCGGAGTGGCAACTCCGCAACACTGCTCTGGACACGTCTTAGGATGAGCAAAATGAGTCATGACAATAAATTTGAGGGATGTATTTTCGCCCACAAAATTGTATTTCATTACAATTTTATTTGAAATACCCATGATTTAGTATTTAAATGCACACGTCAAATACATTACCCAATTTGTAATTAAATACAAATGCAAAATACACAAAGTATTTGAAATACGTATTTCAAATACTTGTATTTGAAATACTGCCCATCCCTGCTATCCAACAATTGAATTAGACATGCAAATGACTGCGGTAATGCTTTGCCATGTTTTCGAGTTCTGTGGAAAATTCTGCATCCTGTCTTTTATACCTAGGGCATGGTTGACCCGGGTGAGCTCGTGACTGCCACTCTGAAGCGGGAGTTCTGTGAAGAGGCCATGAACAGCCTGGCTCGGGACGGAGAAGACCGGTGCAAGCTAGAGGACTCCATGGGGGAGTTTTTCAGTAGGGGCACTGGTGTAAGTGGTCTGCCAGCTTCCTTTGTGTTGCTGGTGCCAATTGAGCTTGGAAGTTGCCAGTGTCTCTTCGCACTCTTCGCAGTGTGTCTAATAACCTGGAAAACCTGTAATTGTCAGGAATTTCAAAGCACCTGGAAAAGTTGGGGAATGGTCAGAGAAATTGTCAAAAAGTCTGCTAAGTCAGGGAAAGTGACAGATGAGAGTGGTGTGGTGATGCACAGCGTAGCACAAGGATGTGACGTGCAGTGACATGGGTGGTGGTGAAATTGTCCATATTTTAATATGTTGTGTTGGAGGTATTGTTTCCCGAAACATCACTAAACAACTCAAGCCAGCCCCGCCCCCCCCCCCCCCCCCCCGATTAACCTAACTTAATAGGAACAGCCTCTAACTCTATCCTCTGCAAGCACGACAGACCTACACTAGCTTCAAACTTGTAAGGCCATTCATGTGTGCGATGTGTGCTTGTTTTTGTGTTAAGTTTTTTGCGGCTGTATTTTTTAAATGAAAAAAATGTATGAATGATGATGCCACTGTCAAAGTGTTTTCTCAATCCAGGCATTGGCAACATGGATTAGTTTTCAGATTCTCCTTTTGTAATGGTCGGGGAATTTGATCGAAATAGTTAAGGAGAGCCTGGAAAAGTCAGGGAATTTGAAAGTAATTTGGGCAGACACCCTGCTTCAAGCATTTTGGAGCATTTGTATGTTGTCAACCAAATTGTGCTGGTCTACTGAAAGAGCTGCTGAAGACTCATTGTCATAGACCTTTGACATATAATTTGTGCAGCTCAGATTAGTTCCCATCCGGAGCCTATTGCTGAAGAGGGCGAAAATGTAGTTCTTCTGACTTTGTAAACCTCAGCTGGGCTTTGAAGTGGAGTGTTTGCCAAGGTTTACTGTTTTCACTTTCCGGTGACTGTAGGATGTGGCTTCGCTGAGGCAAAGCGTCCCTTCCATCCACCATTTCTGTAAGCCGACGAATCCAAAAGCAAAGCTGTTCTAACTGTTCCAGCATCTACAGCGAATTCAAGTTGTGACACTGGTTATAAAATGATGCCGCAAGTGAAGAAAAGACAGACTTTTAATTCGAAGATGAAGCGAGGGGGGTTTCATGCAGGCAAAACAGCTTGCTGCATTGGAATGCAGTGTTACAGAGATCCTTATGCATTCGGAGTGTCTCTTCTTTTATCCTGCATAATGGTATGACTTTGGGAAGTGAGCACACACAGTGTCGTGGTATGTTCAGCTGGTCGATTTCCAGCCTCTTGGAGTGCTGTGAAAGGGCGATTCCCGTTCGGCTTTTCAAAGTCGGGCACTGAGTATATTCAACTGGTTCTTAATTTTGATAGCGCTCTCAGATTTTCGGATCGCGCCGTCCCCAGCTGACTCGTAGTGCTGCGAGGCGCTCCGACTTAGAAGTGAAAGCGGTGCGAGCATGTGCTGGAGGACCAGTCGCCTGACTCCAGCCATTTCCGCTGTTGAGTTGAAAGAGAATGAAGCCGATACGGCCAAGAGGCTTAGCATCAGACACCGCCACGTTTGGATACCACATCGATCCCGCTGTGCTGTGCAGCGAGTACAGGAGGTGTTCAGCGCTTGATGGGAGATCGCAGCGAAAGCCAGCGTTCACATTGATGGCAGCCATTTCTTTTTCGAAGCATGTGGACATGTGGTGGGGGTGCCGGATGGATGAAATATATCGGCTGAACCCTTTGTATTGGGCAGTAGCTTGCGCCACGGCAGTGGAGCGGTTGCAGAAGTTGCCTTCGGTGTTGTGTTCAGTGTCGGCACTCAGGCCGCTTGGAAGCCTAGCATTCGGCTGGTGCGCCGTACCCCTAGTTTTGGATTTGGAAGCGCTCTCGAACCTCATAGATCCAATTCGGAGCACTGGAGCGCTGGAAAACGACCAGCCGAATATACCATCGGTAATGGCCCGGTTGGAACATTGAGATACTATATGCAATATATCCCCGATGAGTTCCACATTTTTCTTTTTCGCCGCACTCAGCGTGCCAGCTGGGCAGAGAAACGCAAACAAAAAAGCTGTCCACTGCGGCGGTCTCTACGGGTAGTTGGCTCGAAAACCCCTGATTTGCATTCGAAACATAAGCTAGACGGCTCCAGTCGCCTGTATGCGTACATCCATCCACCGCGAATACCGACGCTTGCTCAATGCCGGTCTTTGCATGCACTAGGTGTACAAGGGGTACGTGGACGACCCCCGCAACACGGACAACGCGTGGATGGAGACTGTGGCGTACAACTTCCACGATGATGCCGGCAACACAGTGGGGAAGTTCTCCCTGGAGGCAGGGGACGACGCTGCTAAGGTCAGGTGGACCGACGTTGGCAAGGAGCTGCGCCTGTACGCAAGCCACTCTGATCTGCTACAAAAGGTGGCCGACTGCCTCGGCGCACACTGGTGACGACGGATCAGATTGCCGGGTGCGACGTATACAACATTGTTGCGTCATGTTTTATACCCGACGTCAACATTTTTGTGCGCCATTCTGGAGGCTGGCTTAGTTTCCACAGTGCCGTGTACGAGACTGTTTTGCATCTTATTTGCACACACACTTGCTACAAGAGGCTGCCAAAGAAAGCCTCGTGCAAGTAGTTTCGACAGCGTTGTAGTAACTTCACATCTAAAAGTTGATGCCGAGTCTGGAGCCAGATGGCTTTGAGTGGGACAGTTAGCAACTGAGCTAAATGCCATAACCACAATTTTGTTTGAGCCTGCGTGCATGAGTGAGGAATTGCATTATAGTTGCATGAAGGAACAAAAACAGTACTTGTAAATGTTTTCTTTTAATTTGGAATAAAGGGGAGGAAAGCTCTCTTCTATTCTTTGTTTCATTTCTTTTCAGAAAAAGGTGTTTTTCCCGAAGTCTGTGAAATTGAGCTTTAATACCATAGCATGTTCTGCAGTTCATGTTAATCCGTAGATGGGTTTGTACACAAGGCAGGGACAAGTGTCATGTGGCAGGAAATCTGGCAGAATGTGCTCAATGTCGTTTCATTCACCAATGTTTTCGCATTCACTCCTACCACGAAATGTTGGCAGATTCCACATTGCCAACATTAGAACCAAAAATATTGTTGAAAATGTTAACTTGCAATTTATCATTTCACTCACTTTGTGCCCTCCATCCATATCATTTCATCCTCTGCAATAATAGATGTTTATTTTCATGTGCTACGAGCATTTATGCTTTCATAATGCTTGCATGTAATGTTATTGCAAGCCTTTAGTGTTGCGTGAATATTTGGATTTTTGAATACAGTGCAACCCAGTTATAACGATAAGAAAACCCAAAATTTCGATCGTTATAACCGATTACCTTTGTATCTGGACTAGAAACTCATCATTTTTTGTCTAGAAACTCTAGAAACCAATCGTTATAAGTAGTACATCGTTTGTTATAAGTGAATTGCACTGTAGTACTAGTATTTTCAAATAATATGCCATTCGATGTTCGCTTCGAGATGAGCTGTAATATTCAGATTTTTATAAGTGTTGACTGTGACAGGTTATCCCTGTTGAGTGTGGTTCTCGCCGAGCATCAGTGTCCTGCGGAGAAGCAACACCCGCGGAGCTCACTTCCGCGGGTGAGACTTCTCCGCAGCGCACCATTGCTTGGTTAGGAGCGAACTCAACAAGGCTAACCCGGTTACAAATAATATTGCAGCCACGTGCTTAGGAGGAAAGTTGGTTTCCAAAGCAGGATAATGCATGTGTGCGCCTGGTCTATTTAAACATTTTTTTCAAACTTTGTAAATGTATATTGTGAGGACAAGGCGGGCTCATCCAGGGACGGATTTATTGAGCACCTGCTCACGGGAAAGTATAAGAACAGCGGATAAGAAGTAGTGGTTATAAAATAATTGAGGACGATAGTGATGATGACCATTTGAAGATGAAGTGGATGTTGTCTATGAGCTCCCTCACAATATCTACATTGTAGTAAAATTTTCAAAGTTGAACTGGCATGCATGGGCATATGCTAAGCAGAGATGCCCCGACAACTTGTGCTAATCGTACATATTTGTATACAGCAAGAATATTTATAAGTCCCCTTGATCAAGTATGCCTGAGCGACTTTATGGGTTTAATTTTATGTCAAATGCATCATTTACTTGCCATCTCAATTTAGGCACTGGACTTTTAGAGGCCACAGTCAATAAACATAGGTAGATTAAAATTAACTTGGAAATGGACAAGTGGAAGCTTGTCAACAACCTTCACAAGTTAAGGTCTGTTCTCGTTTAAGCATGTTGCAGTAGTGGAAGGCTCAGAGAAACTAGTTGATACTTGGTACCACAGCTGTTATCTTTGTGCTTAATCCATGTCAGAAGATCGAAAGGACTTACGCAAGTCGGGCATTACTTGGAATGTTGTCACGCCGTGCGATTCCGCCGCCACTGACGTCATTGTTGTTGAAATCAGGCGTCCAATAAGTTCTCCAGGGGACGATCTTTCTCCATAATCACGTTTAAAACTTCTCGTACTTTGACAACTTTGATCGGCGGCTTCGGCCGAGCTGGTCGCGTTTGGAAGCTTGTCCTTGTCCGGCCTCGACTAGGCTTAGTCAAGCAACATGAAGCTCAGTTCTTTTGGGGCAGTCGTAGATCCAGATCCCACTTTTCAGATTTTATCTTTGTACTTAATCCGTGTCGGAAAATCGAAAGGTCTTACTCACATTGGTAAAAGAAAATCAAATGAACTTTTCATTCTTAGTACGGTTAAGGTGGTCACACAAGCCTAGGTTCCCTTTGCGGCCGGGGCATGGTGCGTGTGAATCTGCCGAGCTCGTAAGGCTGTATGGCGACCACAAACGGAACCTAAGCCTGTGTGGTCATCCCAACTGTACTAAGAATTAAACATTCATTTTATTTTCTTTTACCAGTGTGAGTAAGCCCTTCCGATCTTCCGAAATGGATTAAGTACAAAGATAACACAATACTTGACCCCTAAAGCCTTTGATTCCATCGATCATGATATTTTACTTGCCAAATTACCATTTTTTGGAATAAGAGGCGTAGCACTCGATCTCATAAAATCATACTTAGAAAATAGGAATCAATACGTGTCTTTTCTGAATTTTCATTCGGACAGGCTTTCTATCAAATCGGGTGTTCCTCAGGGTAGCATTTTAGGCCCATTGCTATTTATACTATACATAAACGACATTGTGCATGTGGCCAAAAGCGATGATGTAAAGCTGATAATTTACGCTGATGATACAAGTATTTTTTTCTCCCATAACAATCTTTCTACTTCTATTGCTACAGTGCACGAAGTGCTAAAAAAAATCGCCGCCTGGACGCTTAACAACAAACTAAAATTAAACTGTAAAAAGACCAAAGCTATTTTGTTTAGGCCCAAAAATAGGAAAATAAATAACCTACCTCATCTTACAATAAACAATGAAGAAATTGAGTTTGTGGATTGTATTAAAACTTTGGGTGTGTTGTTTTCTTATGATATGAGCTGGAATGCACACATAGACTACATGCAAGCAAAAATATCTAAAAATGTAGGCCTGCTTACAAGATTTAAAAGTTTACTTCCTACTCGAATTAAATTAACTATATATAATACATTAATTTCTTCTCACTTAAATTACTGTAACCTGATATGGGGCACCACAACAAAAAGTAATCTGAATAAGTTGCATCTATTACAAAAGAAGGCCGTACGTGCAATTTCAGGAACTCCATTTCTTCATCCAACTAAATCACTATTTAAATCCCTAAATGTCAAAACCGTTGAGCAAATGTATCCTTACAAGCTTCTGTCAACGTATCGCAGGGCTCTTCAACACAATAATGTTCATTTTATTAAACTAGTCAACCTAAAACATCGCGTCATCCTACGCAACCTAAGACAAAATGAACCCTGGATGATTCGCCCAACGCGTACAAATTACCTAAATCAGACGCTCCATTTCAGATTGTCCACCATGTTAAATAGTTTGTACAGAAAAGGTCGCCATTTTGAATCACTATCACATAGGGAATTAAAAGAACTTACTTTTCTAGGCGATTTTTGAATACTGCTGATATTTTTCGTTATGAACTGGATGTATTATTTCATGTACGATTGTATCATTGCTTTAATTATTCGAGTTCTTCTTTCACTGGCCTGTGTGTTTTACGTCTATATGTTTTCAACAAATTTAGTATTGTATAAATCAAGTTTCTGCATTGGTGTGTACTAGTCTCTGTACACTGTGTAGTTGTATACTAAATTTTAGTCGTTAAATTGTTTGAAGCTGTCGCAAACTGTACGGGGGCTGGGACCCTTGTCAAGCTGCTCTTTAGCAGCTTTTTGCCCCAGTCCCTGTTGTCATGTCAAATGTGACAACGAATAAATTTGATTTGATTTGATTTGATTTGAAACCACTATTTTTGCTTCTAACTCAAGATCCACTAGTTGCACATGCCTATTAAAATGTGAAAAAAAACCTGAAAATCATTACCATAAAAGTCTTTTTCTAGATACAGCAGTACAAGCAACAAGTGGTAGTAGTGTGTGCACAGTTGCAAGATTCACCACTTGTAAAAGTGCTCCATTGTGCCAAGTCTTCAGAGAAGCGAAACTGGAGCTTTTTTGTTGGAACGCTTTGCTGCGTAATATGTAAGCTCGCTGCAGCCTTTTCAGGGAAGCCATTGGTTTATCATCCTCCAAAGATGAAGCGAGACAGACGGAATATACCCTGATGCAATGTACAAGAAAATTGCTTTATTAATTTGTACAGTATACAGATATCTCCTATTTTTTTATACACGTGGAACGCGGAAGAAAAAATCGGGTCAAATTCAAGCATGTACTTTCCTTCTTCAGAGCAGAGAGAAAAAACAACATGGTAAAATGCTCGATTTGCACGTGCACTTGTTCGCAAGACACTGCACCAACAGTTCTCAAAGAATATGGGGTTAAAAAAATAAAGGTTCTATCAGGAGGGGCCATATGCTATTGGCGGGCTATGCAAATTTATGAATGTTGCTTGGCATAAATTACTCAGTTTTTCTTTATACATTCAAAGAATCGCTGCAAGAACAAAGGAAATTTTGAAGGAGTTGGGGGAAGGTCGGAACTACAGCAAGGCCGTTATCTCCGAACCAGGGACTGGGAATTGGGGCTCTTGGCGCCTTCCAGTTTCTCAAAATGTTTCCGGGCATTCTTGATGTTGATCAGCGTTGCTGCTGATGCTGCATACAAAGAGGACGTGGCATTAAAATGAAGGTTGCTTTTGCTGTGCCGTTGCCACTGCGCACTTAGCAACCGACTCGTAAAAATGGGCTTGTAACAATACGGTCTATACACTTTTCAATAACCTGCGAGTGGCTACGATCAAAGGTCTAGTCGTACTTCCCAAACATTTCTCGAGGTACTATTAAAAATTAAAATAACGTCAACTAGTAGATACGCAAAACTGAACACCGGATGTCATTCGTCTCATATTCAAATATTCGTAGACCCCTCGTCCTCTGCAATTTTTTTAAAAACATCGACAACACCCCCCCCCCCCCCCCCCCCCCCAAAAATAAAAATTTTTTAAAAGCAAAACACTAGATTACGGCATTAGCTGAAACATTTTTGTGCTACAGATGTACGTACAACTACCTAGAGCCACGCTTAACCTGAGCCTCTACGCCAGTGCAGGAGATCTATACTCAGCAAAAGGCCAGTGGTTCGATTGCCGCAGAGGGACATGGTCTTGCAAAGACAACTAGCTGCGTTGTTATGTTTCTGTTGCGCAACCTTTCGAGACGCCCTAAGCTCGGAACTGAGCCAACACCAGCTAGAATAAACGAGGCCCGCAAGCATCTTCCTCTTCCTCCCTAGAACGTTGTCGCAGTTGGGTCGCACCAACTTGGCAATTGGACTTGAGCGTCCTTCGACGTGTTGCTTGGACACAAGGCCCCCAATGCTGGCACAACGCTCGCATTCAATTTGCGTCTTTGCTCGATCTCGCCGTTGTGACATCAAAATTGCAGTGCGCACGCTTCGATTATTCTAATTGGTGTTGACCCAGCCCTAAAACATATTCCGCGTTAATAGCAAATATGTGAAGAATTTAACTTTCAGTTCTAAATGCCCGTTCATAAACTTGCATTTGCTTAGGACTGAGCTCTCGAGATCTCTCACTGCGAGAAAACGCACTGGGATGCTGGTGCCTTCTATGGGGCAACTCTGGAACTGCATTTCACTAGTGCGAAGGTTCTGCGGCATTTGTGTGATCAAACGTATGCGCCATCTACGAGAAATGGTCGTCTATAACATCGCAGAAAGATTTTTGAGTGCAGAAAGAAAGAACGAAGCGCTAAAAAAATGGAAAATGTGCAGAAACTGAAAGTGTTGCACAGCTACCCGTTAGCGTGTTCTCTCGTTGCGAGAGTCTCCGAGAGGTTCCGAGGTTCACGGTCGTAAGCCTCTGCAAGCGCGCGAGGTCGGCAGGAAGCGCAGCGACGCGGGCAGACGGACTGGAGGGACTCACGCATGCTGGGGTCGGCCATGATGACCATGATGTAGGTGTTTGGGGTGAAGGCGTCGATGAAGGCGGCGAAGTTGCCGTTGCGCACCTCCATGCTATGGAACTGGGCGGCCAGCTTGCTGCAGCTCAGCTTGAACTGCTTGATGATGTTGGAGACCTTCTCGAAGCGGTGCACGTCATGGTGCTGCTTGCGCTGGCAGTGGCTGATGATCTGTGGCAAAAGAAGAAGCGACGGCCGCCCCTTATTTCTCTCGAAGCAAAGATTAAGAGTGAGCATAATTTACGACGACACACTAGACGCTTCGCGAAATTCGGTGTAGCCACTTTGGTTACGGTGCCTCAAACGTGTCCCCGGCCGGCACATCGAAAGTGCGCCCAAAGTGGCAATGAATGACGTTGGGAAAGCTTATGCTGTCCGATGTTGCGATACCGCTAATCGGCCACAGAAGTTCCGCAAAAACCACGAGCAAACGGGAGTGTCGCCGTCGTCACGGTCGGTCAGGCATTCCAACTCCCAGCTGGCTAAGCTTCCGTGGACCACTTCAACTGATCCAAAGACCCAACTGATCGCGCGACCCGCTGCCTGTCGGTCTCAAAGGCCGCGTCTCGCAAACTACCGTAAACGACGCGGCCATAATCAAAAGAAAGCAATAAAGCTTACAAGAGGGACAATTAGTTCCAGAGGCTTCGGCCAAACAATGGCACGGAGGCGAGAAACCCGTCGCAATTTAGTTTTCTCCATCCGCCTAGCCATTGCTATCATTTTGTTGCAGGACTAGAGTGGTGGGACAGGACCCTATGCTCGCCACAATTGGCGGTTTCAACTTCTCTGACATTTGCTTTGCTAAAGTGAGAAGAGTGCAGGCGTTGCCAGTTTTACGTTGTGGTCTATTTGCACATCACGCATAACTAAAGATCGGACGCGAGCTGCGAGACCATGTCGCCAGCATGGTCGGGAACAGCGCGGGGTCCTGGCCGAGGGCATGCGCCTTGGCACTTTGTGGTAAAAAATGATGAAGTCCCATTGTAACGAGGAGTTTGTGGACGGTGCTTGCAACGGACTCCAAGAGACAAAAGCCATCGCTCCGGGACCAGCTCCTGCCGAAACGAGGGCGAAAGGGGTGCGGACTCACGAGAAAGGTGGCCTTCTCGAAGAGTAGGACCTCGTTAGCGTCTATGATGTTGGTGAACTGTTGGAGGTTGGTCTCCAGCTGCTGGACATTGGGCACCAGCGTGTACACAATGGAGGACCATGCCTAGGAAAACAAAGACGGGTCAGGCAACCCTGCATCACAGCTTCCCAGGCCCTATGCATTTCCAATGGCAACTTTTGGGTCAGACTGCTCAGCAACCACCTGACGGATAGACTTCGGGATGGTTTTATAAAAAATATAGTAAAAAAACTACCGTAGGATCCTGGGGGTGTGCCCACCCCGCTTTCACCAAAAACTGGGGTAATCTAGACATGGGCTGTTGTCTGAGAAGTTCGGGCATTTAATGCATCATTTGCGGAATTCCTGAGTTTCGGAAATGTCTATAGTGGGCGCTCGAACAAAGTGGTGTTCTGCGGTATTTTACGGTAATTAGCGGCGCGTTTGCACATTTTCTTGTTTTGGGGCTAGATATTTTCTACGAGAGCTTGAATCCCTTGAATCGACCTTTCATTCATAAGCACTTTTGAAGAAAACAGAGCCACTAACACGTTTCCTGAAGTGTTGCACAAAGTAATTTCCTTTTTTAAAGTATCTCAGTCAAGATCTTCATTCCATTTATTTCAACAGGGAAGTAGGAGGATCAAGTTTGCACTTTGATGAAAGCCTGAAAATTGTTTTCTCCCCCCGAAGAAATTTATTGGCTATCTATAGTCCGTACCATTAGTTGCCTGCAGTACAGGCAAAGGCAACGCCATGAGAGGGGAGAAAGGGCAAGCACTAGGAAGGCTGGGGAGGAGGAGAAAAACCTCTTCTCTCCAATGTTCCTAGTGCTCTCCCTTTCTCCCATTGCTCTCCTTTGCACTCCCTTCCTGTCCCACCTTCTTAGTGCTCTCCCCTCCCTTCGCCTGAACTGCACACGACTAGTGACAAGGAGTATAGTGCGCCATCTGTGAGAAACTTTTCATAGTAATTTCAGACACAAGGTCATTTTGTGCTAGCGCATAGCGACAGACTTCTTGCAGGACCCTGTTTCTGTTAATTGTGTTCAAAGTTTCGGCGTGCACGCGGATTTTTTTTTCGTGCGTTTGTGTTTCTGGTTTGGGATTTGGGCGGAGCTGCGAGTAAATCACCCAGTTGTCGTTTTCGCAAGCGGAGAACGTGAAATCGGCGACATTTTTCTTTTTCTTTGTTTGGCCTTAATTTTTGTTCGGTGTAATGCTGCTTAGGACTGCGTTTGCAGTGCACGCATGTTTTGTCTGCTTGAGTCAGTGGCGTAGCCAGGAATAGTTTTTGAGGGTGGCCGAGGTGGCTGGGATGTCCATGAGTTGGGGTGCTGGGGAAGGGGGGCACATGAATATCATGGGGTTTGAAAAACGAAAAAGAACAATATTTCCAGGCAGAACGTTCGAGAGTGAAACCGAACTGATCAGAATTAAAAAGATTTGCACACTTCTCATTTTGGAGTGTCAAAGATCTACATTAACTAATTAAGATCTACATTAACTAATATTACCTAGTATATTGGACATTCCCAGCTAACAAGGGTACTACAGTGAAACCCACCTTATAGAGAGTCTCGTCCCATATAGACGTCTTGAAGCACGTACACTCCAGGGGCTTGGAAAGCTTGTTGAGATCCTCTTGCCTAAGCTGAAAAATCTAATGGGAGACGAAAGAAGGCGGCTTACACACAGCACCAACAAGATCAAGATGTTGCAACACGCAACTTCAGCGCTGTCTGATTCAGGAATACAGGTGTATATTCCCAGCATAAGAGCTCAAATGCAAGTGGTCCTTGTTCCTCAAAAACACAAAGTAAAAATAAGTAAAGGCCTGTTGTGAATCATGGTGATAAAACCCGAGACTCAGGAACACAGAAGGGGACGAACACAACACAACGTCAACAGTGGGGCTCGCCTTTTTAAACGAGTGTCTGAAAAATAAACGTTCAGCTGTGTATTATTGAGACGTTGTGTTGTGTTCGTCCCCTTGTGTGTTCCTGAGTCTCGGGTTTTATTACCATGAATCATCATCAGCTCGCTTGTTTTTTAAGTATTATTTCTGTTGTGAATGTCATTCCTGCAACATCCCCTAGGTCTCACTTCCTGCAAGGTGCTATTCGGAAATCGGAAATCATGGCCCGTGGTTGCAGACAAGAGAATGCGGGCTGAGCTGTGTGGAGCAGTAGCCTTCTTATAATAAAGAGAATTGCCAAGACACCGAAAAAGACATTTACAATTCTCTGTAATGTGAAATTAGAGTGCGGCTCTTGAGGAAGAGGAGGGGAGGGTAACCTCCCCTCCTATTTCGCAGAAGATTTTCGCTAAATTTCTCGTTATATTTAGCAGGAAATTTAGTGAAAATATCCCTGCTAAATTTTGTGGGAAATTTAGCAGGGATGTTCACTAAATTTTCTGCTAAGTTTTCAGTTAAAAATTTTCAGGCTAAATTTAGCAGAAAAATTAATGTCGCACGACCTCATCACCAATTCAGTTTCCCCCCAAATTTAGAGGGGGAAACAGTGACGTCCCATAATGCAATGCGTGCGGTTACGTCAACGCCGCTCAACCCAGTGAAAAGCGCCCAAGAGCTGTGCTCTAAAATGAAAGATTCAACTCTCCAATCAGCAATAGTGCGGGGAGCTTGAAACTCTATATCAGCAGGAATTACCGACTCTTCCCAACAGTGACCACGAATGGCCATGTGTGTGGTTACTGTATGTTCGCCCTTGAGCCAGCTGCGTGACTCAAGGGCGAACATTTACGGCATTTATGTTTCAGTTTGGGCTAAACAGAGTACAGTGACGCTGCTCTCTGACCACACCCCCTCCCAGAGCTAGGACATTGGAAAATTTTTTTGTCTACAATAGAGCCCCGAAATGGTTAGGGGAAGACCCTCTCCCTAATTTGCGACAACTCACATCGACCTCACTTCACCAGGATAAAATGCTCGCAAATGCGTGTATTCACGGCATGTTTCGAATTCCCAACATGCGAGAGGCCTTCACGTCAATACTCATTGAAAAAGCTGCTCGCTCTAAATTTCCAGGGCAGTGAACAGGAGGTACCTTGGTCGGCTGCTAGTCAGCACGACTGGTGGCCAAAAAGGGCAACTTTGGGGAGGCCATGTCATCGAGAGATTTGACACAAGTGCTGCGTCACAGTTTGGAATGGTGCTCGGAGATTCGAGCTCGAGATGGGGACCAATGACCGCAGCCACGGGCCGTCTCGAGAGTTGCGAAAATAAGATGGCGCCACTTGTCAAACCAAACTTCATTGCCCGGTGAGTCTGCTACACTTCATTTCGATTACAATGCACCGCAACAAACATAACAAGAAACCGCAGCCAGTCCACGGCTGCGAGCGTGTCACATGCCCTTCGGGGTGGGCAGAGAGAGGCGCAAAGCTTGAAGGCACGTGCTATGCATGGAGCACTGGACCGGCTACTATGGCTCATAGCGTTTGGCACGGCACATTGGAAGGTGAAACAGACTATGCACATATGGAGGTAGCATACATCTCTCTGTTTCCATCTCCTTCCAATCTTCAATGCTTCGAAGCATTTTGAAGCTGCTGGAATAGTATCTTCCTCACCCGCTCCCTCTCCTCCTCGGGCACGAGGTCCATCTTGTGGACGAGGCAGAAGATCTTGGCCTCTGCAGAGTTCTGCAGGATGGCCTCCAGGCAGGACTGGTAGTAGTGCAGGTCCTTCTCCAGCTCGCGAGACTCCACGTCAAACACATAGATGAGCACCTGCCGTAGGGAGGGGAACGCAACACACAGCTGACATGAAGCCACCGTTCACGTCTATTCAAATCTCTATCTTAATGCAGTTATCTGGTAGCTTGGTTCTCCTACTGCAAAAATAGTGCATGCTCATCTCTTACTGGATGTTAAGATTGTTTGCAACTGAGAATGCATTACACGAGCTATGGCACCATTCTCTCAACCTCGAGAGAAAGGGAAGGTCGAACGCACCTCGACGTTCCTGAAGATGGTATCCTTCTGACTGGCGAAGTAGTTCTCCATGAAGGCTTCCTGGCCTCCGCAGTCCCACAGGTTGAGTACCAGGTTGCCCAAGAAGCGCACGTGCGAGTGCTCCACATCGACTGCGAGGAAAAAAAAATGATGTGGCCGAGCTTACTCGAGTGTAAGACCAGAACAGATGTGCCTTATTAACCTCTCTTCTTTCAGTAGTGTTGACATCCGAGCGTTTCAATACGTGCTGCAACGAGCCAAGGGGGCAAAAAGAATTTGAGCCCGAAGACGAGAACCGAGAACTTTCCCCAACTCTGACATTTAAAGTAGATGCTGGCTCATTAACAAACAGTAGTTGTCCAAAAGCAGTCATTGCACCAAAGCAACCATTTTTTTTCTGCAAAGGAATGCTCCGTCATATTAGGAGCCTTTCAATATGTAGGAACCTGCCGAAAAAATGTATCCTGGTGCCTTTGGCATCCTTTGTGGTACTGTCGTGAGCAAAAGTCTGGACAACACGGGAGCGCTGACCGAATTGCATGGCCGCGCTCCCTGACGGCGCGTCGCCTGGTGCCAAGACCCGCACAATGCACACGCGCGTCCTTTCTTATCTGCTGGCCCACTCGTTCGCTCGCTTCAACGCGATGCGCTCCTGAGCGATTAAAGGGGCGCTAGGTGACGCCCCGGTAACCAAGATTCCGAGAGCCTCGCTCACCACTCTGGACGAGCTCGCGTGCGCCGCGGCACGCGCCGTTCGCGCATATCTTTCCCGCGACTCGGCGACACGTTAAATAACTTAAAAGTTAGTTAATAACATAATTTATTCTTGCTATATTACCAAAGGGACTAGTGCATTCTACTTCCAATTGAAACAACTTTACGAAAGGTGGCTTCAAAGCCGAGGAAATTAAGTTGCTGGCCAACACACGGTTTGGCCGTCAAAGGCTTTTGCGGTCAGCTGTTGTGTAGCAATCTGGTTGTGCGAGGTGCTGATTTTCGGCACGCAGGTACTTGGACTACCGTAACTTGACAAAACACTTATTATACCTAAAAGAGGTGGCACAGTTTAACCAGGCTGAAATATTTTTGGGCAGCGTAACTAAATGGGAACCGGTTTTGACCGTCAAAGGCTGTCAAGAGAGTACCACTCATCATGGCCAGGTGGTGCACACTTTACAAGTAGGAAGGGACCAGTGGATGGTACTTCCAGTTTGAACAACTTTGCAATAGGTGGCTCTAAAGGCGAAAAAAAAATTGTTGTTTACAAGACTCGGGGTGTCAGCGTTTCCACAGCCAAAAGGAGGCTGATCAAAAAAGAAAGCACACCACATAAACTTCCATACTCAAACATCGATTGTCCAGTGATTCCAAGTTTCATTATAGTTTTCCTTAGATTCATATTTGTCACTTTTTGTACCGTCCGAATTTTTCTTCATGAAGTACAGACTGCGTGCCATAATGGTCCGGAAATATCATTGACCTGTACGATGGGGACGAAACTTCCTTGGAGGGCATTCCTTCAACGAAATTCGCACTGCATACCCGCGAGTGTGGGATGGCATCTCAGTTCGAGCTGAGATATGTAGGCGTTACTGGTATGAAAACAAACGCATAGCGCAAAGCGGCAGTGTAGAATATGTCAGCTGTGCCGACACAGTGGCAGACGTGATCGGGAGACCAAATTTCGCGCGTCGTACGGCACGGGTCCATCGTTGTCGCTGCCCCACAAAACATTGGCGAGGTGAAAAACTGTGAAACTTCGTCCCCACGAGATACGACGCACATGGGCATACCAACCAGGGGGGCCAGGGGGGGCGCCCCCAGCTCTCAGAGTGAGGGCGCAAGGCATGTGTTTTGCCATGCCTTGCTATACATAGCAAGGCATGGGCACAAGCTATGTATAGGCCATAGGGCATACAGTCCTCAGATATTGCTACTAGGCATGATTCTTATGCGTTGACACCACCAAGCGGCAATGCTCGCAAGTAGAAACCTTGGCCGTGCAGAAACTCTTGACGTCACGAGTGCAATACGCACTGTGCTTCTCGCTGGTCGACTTTAAAGCGAAAGATAGAGTCTGCAGTTACATCAGTTTGTTTCCGTACCCCTTTAAAATATCACCACTTCACCATATCACGCAGAAGGGTTGTTTTTATTACAACCAGGGACTGTCTTGGCGTCCAATTCGGATAAAACTCGACAGTACAATACTGCTTTGCACTCTTGTTTACGAGCCAATGTAGTCTATAAAGAGTAGGCAAACAAGACAACTAACTTTGAAATCAAATAATGCACCTTAACCAGATTCCCCTCACATTCCTTTATTAGGCTCTGCTTGCAGTTAAAGAACCACAGGTTTGCCAACACTGGTGAAACGTCTCGGACAGCAGTTACCGCTGAGCAAACACCTTCGCGTCAAGAGCCCAATTGTCACAGCGTCCCAGAACCTCAGTTTCTTCAACACTGCAACGTTTGGAAGCAGGGAAGCTGTAACAAACGTGCTAGGCAGAAAACGTCTTACTTGTGGCACCCAGCCTCCTTGTGTCCCTTGCAATGTAGTTGGCAAATATGATGGATCGCATGCTTGTTTTGCCTGACCCGCTTTTTCCCATAAGCAGGACCTAGACATAACGGGGGAGAAATTCACAGCTGTCAGGACATGCACTGCAGCGGCATCTTTCGAACACTCGCAAAGCGATCACATACAAAAACAACCGTGAAAGAACTCATAGGAGAACAAACACTTTTCAGTGCTCAGCTGCTGACTTTTGGGTGATGGTGTTTAGGCATTTAATGGCGAAAAAGCAACGAGGGCCATACTGCGCCAAACAAATAGCTGACGTTTGGGAGAAGGACCACATGTTTTGAACAGTTTTTGCCCAGGGACGTCAGCAGCCGTGCTCATAAATTGCGGTCGCCTGGATGACACATGGCATGATTCATTGTCCAAGAAGAACCATTCCAAAAAAGGTCAGTATATTTGCGTGCGACGATAAGATTGAAGAACGGAGCAAAGGTTTGCGGAGACGTAAACTTTGGACTACGTGCACAGTTAATGGTTTTCGAGTGACTTAATCGAGCACTGCAATGAGCACTTGTTCGTTGCTTGTACGAACAACTGAATGAATTATTTCTGTCTCGCGCCGAACACTCGTGAAGCTCGACGTTTCGAAGGTTGAACGACTTATCTCGGAAGGCGTGTCTTTCCAAGTTTCCGTCGGTGTCTCGTGTAAGCTGTCATGCGCTGAAGTTACAATCTGTCTCTGGCTTTCGTTAAAACAATAAGGATTAATCGTTACAACGAATAACTGACAATACAAGTGAACGCTTGTAGGTCTGTGGTTCTCGTGTTTTCGCGAATTGGGCTCCCTCCTTCGTGTCTAGGTTTTGAGTCTCCGAAGCGCGGTGTTTGCACAGATTTGAAGGGAAAACAGGGTACCTTCTTCTTCATCGCGCTTGATCTATTTTGCATCCGAGCTTTAGGTGATCCTGCGAGGGAATAAAAACCTAACGGTGCCGCGTTGATGGCGAAAAAAGCCCCGCAAAAACTCCCTGGTCGTTTATTATCAAGCGACCAGACGTCTTGTGACTGACGGCCGGAGCCGTCGCTCCCCCTAACGGCGACCGATTCAAACACTTATTTAAAAAAAGCCGTTTTCTACATTTATAGTTTAAATAAAATAACGCGGGATAAAATGTTCAGAAATTACTATTCCGTAAAAATATTTTTGGAGACTGAAACCGGTGAAATTGGTAGTAACATCTGCAACGATTGTTTGGTTGACTCTGGTGCGAGAGTAGACGCCTGTATAAAAGCGTTGGAGTGAGTGCTCGAGGCTAGGCGTCTTCTGCTCCAACTATGGCGACAGGTCACGATACACCGCGTGAGTGGCGAATGCATTTCATTTTTTATTCTCTGTCAATCACATTTCATTTGCAGCTCGTGAGGGCCTTCAGTCAAGAACCGCATGCATAACGACCGCATGATTTCGAAACCGAAACTGTAACTACCGGCGCGCACTTCCAGTTGCGCGCACCGGTGACAGCTCTGATTCACGCGCCTTCAAGTGTCAGATTCTTCCGTACGGATCGTTATGCTCGCTACGATGTGGTGAAAGAGAATATCAGCTTTGCGCTGTTGTAGGCAGTCTTAATTACTGTTTGTGTTCGTATTCTTAAAACAGTTGTATTCAAAACGCGCGCATACCCGGGCCGGCTTACATAATCGCGCCGGCTTCCAGACCCCGAAAAAAAAAAAAAAAAGTTTAAGGTCCGGTCTTTTGAAGATATGCATGCGTAGTATAGCTAGTGGAAACCAGAAAAGAAATGACGGAAAAAGTCGGCGAGCTGTTTTGATCTTGGGAAGAGCGTTACCGTTATGGCTTTTCCAGCAAAATCGAAACCGAAACGCACCGCAAGGTGGGATCGTCTGCTTCTCCGATTAGAGGAGAGAGCGCGCGATTGAAATTGCCGGCGGTTTTTGTCGGGGGCCACGCCCTACCAGCGTATTGTGCCTCCGTCGGACATTTCGGCCGCCGGCGTGGTGGTGGCGGTGCTTTGGCCGGAGTCGGCAGACGAGGGAGAGGGGAAGGAAGGAGGATCGGAGCTCCCTGGGAAGAGGATGACGCCTGAGCGGCCATTGGATCGATCCTGCGCGAAGAAAAAGAAATAGTAAAACAAAATACAAATGAAATGGAATGAGAAGAAAAAGGAAAGTAACGGGATAAAGAAGTTTGCCGTGAGGAAGAATTTGTGCGTGCCTACTTGGCTTGGTAGCGCTCAAATGCCAACCTCTTTTCGTGGTTCTCCTTTTCCTTTTTTTTTCTCTTCGTAATTTAGTTTAGTTCTGTTTTCTTGGTTTACGTCGCCTTCGTTTTGAAGATTTGCTTTCCTCGTCCCTTTGTTGCGTAGTTGGGTTTATTTTGTTGCAGCGTTGCGTTTTTGAGGCGTCTTTTTTTCAGTTGGTTGGCTCGCGGGCGAAGTTGAATAGCCGACGATGAGGAGAAAAAAAAAGAAAAAAAAAAGGTAGCGGGTTAAAAAGGGACCGGATTGAGCGAAAACAAGAACGGATACCAAACTGCCCCATTCACCAGCATAGAAAAAAACAAGCAAACCATAGAACGACGGGTGAATGGGAATAATTTTTGAAAGCAGCAAGACCGTTATCTTTGAAATGCTGGATGAGAAATGAGGGAACGGTGATTTTCTCCTTTGTTCTTCCCCATCTGAGGCGCCTCGTTTCTTTCTTTGTCCTTTTTTTTTTTTTTTTTTTTGTTTGTTTTGTTTGACCGATCGGAAACTCCTTCGACTCCCGCAATCGCGGCGGCGATGGCTTCCAAGATTCCTTTTGGCACTTTGAGGGGGTGCGGTCGAATATGGGACTTGGGCCGTGTTAGGGACGGGAAAGGATGTTTGGGGAAAGAAAATGGGTTGCCGAAATGGTTTTCTTTTTTTGTGCGCGACGGACTCTATTTTGTTTCTTCTTTTTCCGTGGGTACTTAGATTTTCGTTTCTCAATTCTGCTGTTCGTCGGAGATTCAAAGACGCCACATTTATTTTGAAATCCCCTATTTTCATTTGTGGGCATATAAAAAATACGGCTGTGTGTTTCTTTGCTTTTTTTGTGTGTGCTCCTGGCAAAATATTTTTTTTATTTTTTTTTGTTCCACTGTAACAGGTTGCACCCGCAGGAAAGTTCTACTAGTAACCCGTTTCGATCTGAACGAGCACCATACCGGCGTCCGGTCGCGGATAATTTACTGCGCGATGCACTCTAAAGACCCCAGTCAAGCAATCGTACTGGCACTGGCTAAATTTCTCATCTACGGTGGCTAACAACGTCGCCGCACTCTTTCAGACTAAACTCCCGCTTTCGAAACAGAATCGAATTGTACAACTTAGATCCCAGTTGGCACAACATCGCTGTCTCCGTTTTTTATTTATTCATATCAAGTTTAGCAGAATATTTAAAAAGATTATAGATGGATGGATGAATGACGCTGAAGCCCTTTGCATCGGGCGGCGGCTTGCGCCATCTACAATCGGTGAAAGGACAAGGAGGAATAAACACGCCTAAGGTGGTGTCTGCAGACTGTCTTTTGTACGATTGACCATGTTTAAAATTACCCGAGGCTTTTAACCATAGTCTCGGGGGTAACTTTCTACGTGGTCAACATTCACTGCGGCTCGACCGCACACTTGCTGTGCTTTGTGAGACGTATGATAAGCTTAGTCGGGTCATTTTGACATTTTTTGTTCCCACTATCCGGTGACGGGCGTATCGCTCTTTTTTTTTTGCTTTTTGCATTGGACGAAGATGACGTCATTGGGTGAGGTCAGTTCGCCATCGGAGAGGGAAGCGAAGTCCACGAGTCGAAGAATTTTTCGGTGCCACCCCTCCTCTTGTTTGTACGTCGGAGATTTAGAAATAGAGATAGCCCGTCCCGATATACGCGAAGGATGTGTCTTTTCTCGTTGTGTACGTTAACGTAAAGAAAACGAAAAGAAGAAAAAAAGAACTCGGGTCTTTCTCATCCAGTCTAGACTTTCACAAGAACTGGTCGTATCGTGTTGCAATCGCGACAATGAATCATACCCACCATGAGTTAAGGCTGGGGACAGCGTTAGTCAGAGTCCAGTCATGGCTGAATCTACACACTGTTTTGCTTGAGCTTTCGTGCTTGTCCTGCTCCTCATTTTTACCCTTTAGGTTGTTGCTCTTCTACCGTTATGTTGAACACACTTCTCGCTTTCCATCACCTGCCATCCAACGTGGCACATCTTTTTGCTTTTTATTGTTCGTATTACGTTGTAAACGTAGTTATAGTTCACTCGCAAACTTGCTATTAAAGAGGGATTACGAGTTGAGAATTTCTTCCAATGAATAAACCAATATTAACCTGTTTGTACAGGCTTCGCACTAGACACATTTGGATGACTCCAACGAGCTGATGATCTTTCGGTTCACTTCCGGCGAGGTAACTATTCTAGTTTTTCCCGACAAACTTGGAAAGACAAAACGCAAAAGAGAAACGAGAGCACTCTGTTAAATTAACGCGATCTCGCGCGCGTTTGCACGACTTTCGTTTTTCATCCCTCTTCTTTCCATCCGCGTCTCCCTTAGTCGCTCAAATATGCATGGACTGCGCACTTCCGTGGACATTACAGCAGCGCAGCGTTAAATGCGGTAATGGCGCAAAGCGTACGGATTTTGTTTTTGTACTGTCTCTGTTACTGTTATTCGCACTTAACTGCAGGGAAAGTATTTAAGTGTGCGAGAGAGGGAAAAAGCCACCCTTTCCACCTCATCTCTCTCTTCTTTTCCTTCCTTCCATCACCCGCCGAGAATTGATGTCTTTTCCGACGCCACCGGAAGTCGAGCGGGGTGCTGGCGTCGGCGTCGGCTGCTCTACACAGAAAGAGGCGTCGAGTGGTATCCGTATCTCGGGGAGAGAGGGCGTTATTACGTTGAGAAGCACTGGCATCTCTCTTTTTCTCTCTCCTTTTCTGAATTTTTTTTGATTAGTCCATATTATTTAGTGGTTTTATATATATGTATTATTTCTCGAAAAGTTGTCTTGCCTGTCTGCTTGCCGGATAGCTAGAGCTAGCGTGGCTCTCTCGATGAGCCACGTTCGTTCATTTTCCGCTTTCCCTTCATCTCTGCCTTTACGTCTTTTACGGTTTCACTAGCGGGGGTGTTGTATACTCCGTTTCAACCTTACGATGGACCACAGCGGACGCTACGAGCCAGTCTGAGTGCACCACGTGACTACGCGCGTTGCTGCTGCCGCCTATGGTGGCTGTGCCCCTTTCGAGGATCACGTGACACTCACAAGGCATAGGATTGGTGCGAATCGGCTCGTAGCGTCTTCTGCGGTCCATTGTAAGATGAAGAAACGGAGTGCAAGTCAGTTCGCTGGGGACGTTTCGAAAAGCCCGCTCTCTCCTCCGCGTCCTCCCCCTCCACGAGCTGTCGTGTATCGTTTTTCTCTCCGGGTGGAGTCGACCAAGACGGGGTCGTCCCTCTGTGCGTACCAGCTTTCTCTCGACTGCATCGTGACAGCTTGGCGCTTACTCTGGATTATTTGTTTTGCTTTGTTTTTTTTCCCATTCGGTGTTTATGGGTTCAGCACTTCGTTTTGCTTCTTTCCCACCCACTAAGAGTACGTGCCTGTGTTTGTGTTACGCGTTGTCGCGAAGGCAGTTTTTTTTTTTTGTTGTTTTTTGTGCCTCGATGATTATAATTTTGGTTCCGTCCGCCCTTGTATGTATGTTTCCCTTCTTCTGCGTAACAACCTGCGGCGAAGAACCGGTTGACGTCTGTTGTTTTCTTTACTGGTTAAAGCTTTGTTACCACTTTTTTTTTTTAAATTCTGGGGAAGAGGGTGTTGTTAAGCGATGGGCTCGCGTTTTTTTTTTTTTTCTTCTGTTGTTTCTTTAATTGTTTACAACGTCTCGTTGAAACATGCACGTGCATACAAGCGCCCGAACACAAACCTGAAACCACACCATGCTCAAGCCCATTCTATATGTGTCCACACATTAATGTTTTTTTAAACATGCGCGAGCACACACTCCTGCCTATAAACGCCAGATTAAAATTGATACGTGCGCTTAGTTTTGCATTGAGTAAGTACCGATACTCCGTGTCACTAGTAGCGTGCAGTACAGGCGAAGGCAACGCTGCAGGCGAGGTGAGGGCAAACATTAGAAAGACTAGAAAGACCCTAACGTTCCTAGTGCTTTCACTTTCTCCCCTCGCCCTCCATTGCCCCCCTCTCTAGTCCCGCATTCCTAGTGCTCGAACGCCTCTCTTCGCCTGACGTTGCCTTCGCCTGCACTGCACGCAACTAGTGACACGGGGTAAATAAATACAAGCTAC